ATATTTTTGCGAATCAACCTTTTTTTGCGAATCAACCGTCTTGACCCTCTGCGAAGCAGTGGGTCAGATGCGATTTTGAAGCTCCTGACGAGTACACAGTAAGCTCCCCAACCCTTCTTCAACCCTCAAATATCCTTCAGCTGCGTTTCTCAGACACCCGGGTTACATAACTGATGGCATTCAAACATCAACCAGTGCATCGCGTGCGAGGCAAATCCAGACTTCCATTCGTCCTTGGAAGACAGAAAGCCCAGGCAAATGCAATGACCGTGCCCAGCGCAATAGCGCATTGAGGCAACACCGAACGCCGTGCACGTGTGGGCTAACGGAAGTCATTAGCTGATACTTAGGTAGACAACGCCACTCTGATGTGGTGGCAGTGGTGCAGCCCAACATCATGATAATGGCCAAGGCTAACCACTTTAGCAGCCACTAACACAACAGATCCTTCAAAGTGACTGAGTACCTGAGTGGTGTTGCGTGGCTCGGAATCTCCCACGCGACGGGGCTTAACCAAGAGTTCAAGTCTACAAGAATGTCTGCCTTCGTTCTTTCTATGTGACTGAGCAAGGTTGCGTCTACGACGTTGACGAGTGTTCTGGCCGTTCCGAGGCTGTCGTCGAACGAGACTTGGAGAGTCCGCACGGTAACCCCTAAGGTTATGTCAACTGTCAAGGCAATTAGTAACCCAAGATGTCAGTCAATGAATGAATCGACAAACCGACTCAAACCCATCCCTGGCCTTCGACGCTGTCGCAGTGTACAGGGCTTTTTTCGATGGGTCGGTTCATAATTTTTTCGAAGCAACCGAAAATGCGGTCGATGATGGGCGCGCCCACGTGTACCTTGTTGAAGGTCTCTCCCCTTGGCAAGAACGCAAAGTCAGAGAACTGATCCCAGGTCTTCCTGACGAGTTCTTTGAATGGCATCTCCAGGACAGTCTTGCTTGCATTAATAGCGACTTCCAAAACGACCGTGTAGTTCTGGCCAAATGGTCGCGGGCGGTTTCCCAGCGCAAGGAAGTCTGGCAACGCGAGCACAAGTTGCGGACTCTGGGGTCCCCTTACAACCTCGACGACAAAAACCCGGTCTCTTCACGGTTTGACCACGAGCGGTATAGCCACATCTCTGAGCCCTACCGCTCGTACGATCCCACCTATGCGTACTCTGAAAAGATCGCAGCGGAGCCCAAGGTGATTTTACGCGATATGATTATGCACGCAGCACGCGAGAGTATTTCCTTATACCACAGCATCGACAACGATAAGCTAGCGTGTGGGTGTGCGCGACTGGCGACATTTCCTCAAGTTACTGCAGTCTCGTGTTTCTTACCTGAATATTGACACATGCACATTCCCAGGCGTTGTCTTGTTCGACCCTTCCAGAAAGTACCGCGTCACCAAAGTCACTTACGACACAGAGCAATCGACCAATGAGGAATCCGCGGATTTTGAGGCCTTCAGAAAGGACAGGAACTCTCTTGGGAGATGCAGTACACATATCAGGAAGACACGAACTGCACCTCAACAAAATGATGTCATCCGAGCAGTCACGGACGCCGTAGTCCAAATCCTGATGGAGGACCACGCCAAACTCCTCTCATGCTTGAATAAAGCCATCGACGACATTGAACTGTCGCTAAGAGAAGGACTCAATAGTCCCGGAAGCTGGAGAGTGTACCCTTCTCGGTGGAGGAACCACCTTTTCCACCAGTTGGACGCAGTGGCATACTTTATTGCACTGCTCACCCAAAACGCAGTTTCCTATCCGGCATCGTCCACGTCCTGCTCGTGGACGAGGCAGGTCAAAGCCCTGAAGACGGCCGAAAGGAAGCTCGAAGCCATGATGAGGAGACTGGAGGGCACCTATCAAGTCCTCATGTCGTCTATAACCATTCTAGAAAGCGAGAAGGCCATTGAACAAGCCGAGGTGGTGACGAGAGTTACAAACCTGGCATTCTTCTTCATCCCACTCTCGTTCGTCTCCAGCGTCTTTGGCATGAATGTCAATGTGAGTGCAGGTCTGGTTGTCATAGAGGGGTAGAATTGCGCAGTAAACATCCGTCCCATCGCAGGAATTCGACCAGAGACTAACCGTCTGGATATGGTTGGCCACATCGGCCGGCATCACAGCCTTCACTTATCTGATCAGATTCCGGCGCCCCTTGGCAATCGCTTTACGCAAAACACCCGAAACTATTCAGCGTTTTCGTTGGGACATTTTCGCCGGGCAACTGATTCATAAGGTTCGCTGGGCTGGGTACCTATTTCCAGTGGCCATTTATACGGCGCTGGCTGTGGCTGTCTGGCAGGTTGGTACCAGATCTCCCACAGATGACACCATAATCGGCATTTCCGTGAGCCTATTGGTCGTTCTGCGAGTGCAACCACTGAAACGAGGCTTCGATCTTGCCCTACGGATGCCGACGGACGTGATGGAGCGGTATGATTACTCGCTATTCTGGCGCCAATTATGCGTAGCCACTGCCTTTTTCGCCGGCGCAGGCGTCGCACTATGGGCTGTTTCGACCAGCCAGCTTCCCGTCGACACGAAAATCGGTCTGGCGTTGGGCGTCATTGGGGTCCCGGCCCTCGTAACCTCGACGTGGCAATACGTAGTATCCTTTCACCTCTTTCTTTCTTCCAGGAATTCATCGATAGATGCAATTCATGGACGGTCACGGTTCTTGGCCGACGTACTGGAAGTTCTCTCAAGTTTTGCACTGGGAGTTGGACTTTGGAGACTGTTCGACAGCGGCATGACAGATGCCACAAAGATCGGTGTAGCCACTGGCTGTATTGGTGTTCCCCTCAAACTCATCGGCTATTATGTCAACACCAAGCTTCTAGTCAGCTCGAGCCACTGTTGCTATCTTCAACCAGTTCCTGGGGCCCAGCTGGGTCCGAATCTCGGCAGCTACGCGATCCTCGGCACAATCATCTGGAAGCTGAGTACGAGCACCTTGTCTGTTACTACCAAACTGAGCATTGGCATGGCGATTCTTGGAGCGCGGCAAACTCTGCGGGACCGCCTGGCACGAAGGTATTATATATGTCATTATGACCATATCGAGGAAGCTTATAAGTGTCCCGGGAGGCCCTGGTGGGCACTATAATTGTAGGATCCTCGTCGCACTAGGCATTATCGGGTGCTCACGACAGCCAGTGAAAGGCCAGGAGGCAGAGTTAAGGCCAGTGGAGGGGGAAGGGTCAGGCGTTAAGAGGGAAAATCTACAAACATGAACTATCCGAGTGATCGCTCCACGGAGTCATTGTATTTTTCGAGATATCTCCCAATGTGCCAGGGCTGCTACCTAACCGTTCTAATAGTGGTCTCATATTACCATTCCAACCGCGTTCAACATATCAGTTACCACGGCAAGCAATACCACCGCCCACACCAGGCTCATACAGCTCCAAACTCCCCCGCTCGAGGCCGCAGAAGTTGAAGTCGAAGGAGAAGCCGAAGTCGCAGCAGCCAGACCACCCGTCTCCGTCGGTCGTCCACTCTGACTCGACGTCGTCCCCCCCGTCGCCCCAGCCGCACCTGCACCCGACACGCTACCGGCCCACATCGTCGTCTCACTCGCGGGACACCCAGCGCTGGACAGCCAACTGCTGTAAAGCGAATTCATCTCGCTCGCGCCGAGGGTAGCGAGCTGCCGCTCCCCGGGGTCGATGAGTTCCCTCCCGGCCGTGACGACAATGGGCAGCTGGTGCGCGACCACATAGCAGTTGTCGAAGTGCGCTGATTCGGTTCTTGTGCTGGTTGAGCTGGCTACGATGGTCCGGTTGCACTCGGCTGAGACTTGGTCTCCCGAGCCGCCTAGTGCGCAGCGCCTGTTGAGTGGTGTCAGTCAACAGTCCCGTCGGGGGATCTTGTTGACTTCAAATTGGGATTTGCAAGGGGTGGTTGAAGGAGCACTAAGACCGTCTCGTTCTCAGGGATGCTATTTGCCGTCCTCAATGCTCCCGACTGCAAACTTTGGTGAAATGGTAAAAAAGGACGGGTTAACCTACCAAGTCGTGGTGCTGTCATCAGCAGCATAGGTAGTGGTCCCGCCCCAGACGGAGCCCTGCGTGTGGTAGACTTGGGCCGGGTAGATGCCCGCGGCGCGGCAGGCGTCATTGGCAGGCGAGGGAGGCGACGTCGGGCAGTCCAGCTGTAGCGTCGTCACGGGCTTCTCGCGGGGTGAGTTAGACGGCCGGTAGACGGATATGATGGAGGCGTCGAGCGACAGAGGCTCTGAGTCGGGCAAGAAGAAGGTCAGGACCCTTGTGCCTGTGTCTGTGATTGTTGGCAATGGGGGCATTGTCATTGTTGTTGTTTGAGCAGCTGCTGGTAGTGTCATGGTGAGGAGGACGGTGGTGAAAGTTAAGCTGACGAAATGTATGAGTCGCGCCGTCTGGGCGAGACGCGGTCTTGGTGCCATGACTGCCGCGCAGGTACCGGTAGGCATATTCGCATCGCCCACTGGGGATAGGAAGTTGCTGGAGTGTTCGTGTAATACTAGTGTTTAACTGTTTACTGTGCTCAGTCGTGATTTCAGGGGCAGCTTCTTTTATTAAATAGACTGCTGCCTGGGGAGGTGATCGGTCACATTGTGCATGAAATATGTTAACACGTCGCGTAACTCGTGTTGGTATAGTGTAGGATCGCGAGAAATTGCAGAATGCAACTACGGTGCGGGAGCTACTTTGCTTGGCACAGCTTATAGCCTTATGGGGACTAGGTAGCCTGCGTGGACCTTGTGTTGCGGCTCAGCCCTGTTCATGAGCGGCTAAATCGTAACATGATGCAGTGTTAGACCAGACAAAACGGTAATGGGATGAAACCTGAACAGACTCTTAGAGTCGTCAAACGGGATGGACTGCACTGCTCGGGGAAACCCACCCAGCATGTCAGTTCGGGTGTAGCATATGTGATTACCGTTGAAGCTTCTTATATCACTATTATCATCTCCTCCTGTCCAAAGTTTGGAAGACTCACGTTGTTCGTTTCTTCTTGACTGATACTGACTTATAGAGCCATGGGCTCCAACACGGGCGTCGGCTTTGAGACTGCTCGGAAGTTGCTTGACGTCGATTTGCACAGACTCATCCTCGGCGTGCACGACGAGCGAAAGGCAAGGCGGCCGCTGCCAGACTTGCGCCGAGGACCCTGTGTTGAGGTCTGGCAGCAACCATGGTGAGGAAGTTCAATGTCGACAACCGAGCCGTGGGTACTAGTAGTCACAGTTCCCTGCACTCTCGTTCCACCAGACTTATGGATTCATGGGTTGGTTGCTGTGGATGATCATATGATGTAGGGTGGCCCCCCTTGTTTATACCGGAGGAGCGAGAGAAAATATCGGCCAAGCCGCAGAAAGAGACGACGGCCGAGTTCTCGATTTCACGTGCGGAATGGATCCTGAAAGGGATCGATACCTAGAGCATAAGGGGCGGTCCTCTTTTGCGAACAGAGACTCTTCAGGTGTGGCTGCTTGCAGGGTTCATGCTCGGTTGGTTTGAGTACACTGCGTTGAGAGAGAAATCAATACTTCGGGAATAATAGCAGCAGATTAGGAATGTGATGGGAGAAAGGCGAGGTTGCGGGTACTTGTTGACTGATGTATCTGCTCCATGTATTTAGTATTCGGTTCACGTGTTCAGGTATGGTTGAGAACCTTGAGAGCTGCTCAAGCTGTGGTTGCGGGAAGAAGTGGAGATGTCTCGGGATGAATGTAAGGTCTCCGGGCCCCTGTATTGGGACCCTCCATGTAGGCTTAACCATCACGGTTCTCAAACTGGATTGACCATAGTTTTTGGTAGACCATGGGATCCTACCTCGCCCCGAGCAAACTAGTCGTCCTGCTCTGAACTCACGACGGGAGGAATGGCGGCTCACGGTTGGAGAGAAGACGTGCTTCGTATTGTGCGTGGTGCAAAGACAGCAGCGGCAGAGCAGACTCAACAGGAACGGTATTTCCCATGTCGGAGAAGTTGTAGGTGGTTGAAGGGGGCCGGAAGGCGACCCGGGAGCACAGTCCCGACGCCAGCCCGTAGAGGTTCTCACGATATGCCATATTACCATTGAGTCCTACCCGCCTGGTCTTCTGATTGTCTGCTTGCACGAAACGTTGTTCCCGGTGCAGTCCGGAATCATTGGTGCCATTGAATATCGTTTGGTTTCCCCGGATACAAAAGAAATGGCAGACAACGTTGGCATCCCGTGCCCAAACGGAGCTTCCCTCCACGACATCATCATCGTGGGTGCCGGCCCATGCGGTCTTGCCGTTGCAGCGCGTCTGCGCGAGCAGAGTCCGGCTGCCATATTCACGGATGAGGAGCACCGGCGCTTCCACTGGTATGTGGGGAACTATTTTTGCCCTTTCCCGACCGGGGAGCTTCAAGGGCATCTCGATAACGATCGGTTTACCGTTCGACTGACACGGGTGACTACCCAGGATCCGGCGACATGGGAAGCAGATGGCGCTTAAGCATGTCAAGAACGGGCGGGTGTCGTTTGCATCCGATTCTACACAGCACGAATACAACATGGTTGTGCTAGATGCTGACCACGACAACTGGATGGGCCGATGGAATCATCTTTTCAGCGCTTTCGACATCAAGCATCTCCGCAGTCCCATGTTCTGGCACGTCGACCCCCATGATCGCGATAGCCTGCTGTCCAAGGCTTACGAGCAAGGGCGAGAGAACGAGCTGATGGAGATAAGGGGATGCGTGGGCAAGGAAGTGAGCAAACACATGAAGAAGAAGCGAAGTAAATACATAGGTGGCAAGTGAGTACTTACCACCGCGTATACTCACCTGCGCTTCAGCTTCTTGTGAGACAATGTTGACTCTCATAGGGGAGATTCCCGCGTTCCCATCAACGAGCGAGACCGAAACGATTATTTCAACCCACCCCAAACGCTGTTCTGCGACCACTGTAGTGAAGTAGTTGGCCGTTATGGGCTACAAGCGGAGGGCCTGGTCCGAAAGGAGCGGGTGCTTGACATCTCCTTTGGCGTCGTCCCAGGGATTTCGTCCGCCGGCGAGAAACTCTTCACTCTGCAAACCGACAAAGGCATCCGGTATTCTCAAGTCGTGGTTCTCGCCGTTGGTCCCGGCAACCAACCCTGCATTCCCCACGTCCCTGGTGACTTGAAGCTCGACACGCAGCAGACAATCCCCCAAGCCTGCCACGCCATGCGCATCCGCCAGTTCCCAGACGAGATCGTCAAGCGCCGGATCGCCGCCGGGCGAAAAACCAACGTCCTGATTGTCGGCGGGGGCCTGACATCGGCGCAGCTCGCCGACCTGGCTATCCGGAAAGGCGTCGGCAGAGTCTGGCTTGTCATGCGGGGCCCGCTGCGTGTCAAACCGTTTGATGTGGACCTGGTATGGATGGGCAAGTTCCGGAATGTCGAACAGTCCCGCTTCTGGCAGGCCGACTCGGACGAGGAACGTCTCGCCCTGCTGAAGCAGGCGAGAGGAGGTGGGAGTATCACGCCGCATTACAGCCGCATTCTCAAGCAACACGTTGCGTCTGGCAAGCTAAGGCTGCTGGAGCATACCACTCTGGCCGATGCGAGGTTTGAGGCGGGGGATGAGGGCGGCCGGACTGGCGGTCAAGGCGTGTGGCGCGTCAAGACAGAGCCCGAGGTGGAGTGTCTACCCGCGATGGACTATATCTACTTCGCGACTGGAGTCGAGACGAACTTTAGGACACTGCCCTACCTGCAGAGCATGCTGAAGAGTCATCCAATCGATGGCTATGGAGGTTTTCCGTGCTTGAATGACGAGCTGATGTGGACCGACGAGGTCCCGCTGTTTGTGGCGGGTAGATTGGCAGCTTTGAGGCTGGGTCCATCAGCTCCTAACCTCGGGGGTGCCAGACTGGCCGCCGAGAGAATCGCATGGGGAATCGAAGAGGTCATGCGCAAGGCAGGCGGACTTGACCAAGGCGGTGGGCGACGCGATAGGGCAGAGAAGGAGCTGTTGGGCTATGTTACCGGGTCGGGCGGCATGTTTGCAAGTCTTTCGGAAGTTTCATCATGATGGAAGTTTTCGTGGTCGCGATAGGGATCGGATCAAGGAAGTCAGGAAAGAGCAAGGGTTCAAGGCAGCAATCAACTCTCGACGCTAAGCCTAATCTGGCTCGTCTGGGTACCTACGGTAGCGGACTCCTTAGTCGCGAAATTGGCCTGATCCGCAGCTGTCATTCCCCGTCATTCACACACTTCAAAATTCTCCCATTGCATCGATCGACAACGACCATGGGCGTCGCCTTCTTCTAGCAAACTCCGACCCATGGATAACCAAGAGCTTAAGCTGCTGAGAGATGTTATTGAGAGACTTAGACAGACCGTCGACCGACATTATGGCCGAACGTCGGAGAATCCACTCGCCGCCACGCTGCCCACAATCAAAAGGAGACTGGGCGTGTTGAGGGCGGCCATCGATGCCGTCTTTGCGGGTGAGGGCTACAGCAACACCCCGGCCTTCCATACCGCTCTGCGATTCATTCTTCAATTTGCATACGCCCATGGACAGTGAGATCGGGCGGATCGACACGGATTCGACTCGCAGTGTTGCCGAGAAAGCCGTCGCCCGCGCTGCCTTTCACGCCCAAGTCCTAGCCGAGATCACGGGTCCCCTGGGATACCTTATGCGTGCCATTCAGGGGCCGCACCTCAGCTTCGGAGAGCAGTGTATTATGGCTGTCTTCCGTCTGATCTGGAATCTCAGCATCTGGCTTCGAAATCACGACATTGAAGTGTCCTTGAAGTTTGGTCGCTGTCGCCCGAGGCGTGCTAGCATATGACTATATACGTGATGAGATGAGAGAATAGGGAGCAGAAGTGTCCAGATAGGCTCAGAGCCGTGCTGGGTCTCATGAGTGGTTCTAAGTATAGGCATTATATTTGATTGAGCCTGGCTGGCCTCCCTGACATGGACACAGGTCTCCATAAATAGGGAAGGAGTACCGGAAATGGGACCGCAGATAACTTCCACATGCAGTCATTGATCGAACCACGAGTTGCTGAAGCACTATTCAGGTAAGGTGAACGGATGTTCAGCGTTACTTTGCAGTACATGACAATGGACCGCTTTGATGCACATTGTAGCATCAGGAGCTCTAAGCACGCTTCCGCGTGGCATGCAAGTGCCCATGTACGAGAGGACTCTGCATGAACCGCTTTGAGGACGTAACCGTGCACTTCAACGTACAATTCCACAGACTCTTTAACACTGCTTCAGGAATTTTTAGACACTTGGGTGGCAATCATGGCGCACAGTTTCTCCCTCTCCATCACAAGGCAGCCCAATGAGCCCCTTAAAAGGCATCTTCCTGTGGATGGATCAAGATCATCAAAGAGTCTGCTAGAAACAATGATGAGATATTCAAGAGACACACCGACATTGTGGTCAACCTTTATACTTTAATCTTAATGTCTTTTAGGCAGAACCAAAATGAGTAATTGGTATAAGAGCAACAGGGGTCGAACTCCCGATGCTGGTATCATCGATGGTACTTCATAATCTGAGCTGCACGAGCTACCAGACGAGATGCTGAAACTCTATACCTACACCACCGTTCTCGTGGATCTGCGCTTCAAAATCTACTGGGACTCCGGACGCTTCGGCCACGAGTTCCCGCCAGTAGCTTTCGCAGCTGAAGTTGTCACCGAGTCGATCGAGCTGTTTCTCCAATCCCTTGATATGAGCTGTCTCGACCGCATCCGAGCCACGACGAGGTACACCATGTACAGCTTTGCGGAGCCAATCAACTACGAGGTCGAGCGCTCATTCGTCTGGAAGGGCCTTGCAGGAGGCTCCAAGCTCTCCATCAGGGGTCTGAGCCAAGTCGAGTTCGAGAACCAGCTCGCCCTGATGAAGAAACGGCGATGGCAAGACAGTATCCGGGTGGAAATGGCCGTCGAAATCAAAGCCGGGACTGAGTTGCGCAACAGGGCATGCGCAGAGGTTACGCATCAGCTGGATACCAAGTCTTGGGAGTCGGAATGAAAATTGGCCTGCCGTACAAAAGGGCGCTTCAAACGTCAAACTGCATCTAGGTAGGCGAGCATGCGCTTTGATGACGTTGAACCGGCGGGTTTAAGGGACGGATTGGCTGCTTGATAACCGCCTCAAGGCACATGGTGAACTAATAGACCGCAACAGCAGACTTGAACAGACACGGGTCAGTGTCAGTGATACTAGAGGTCAGACTCAGGGGGCAGTGGGGATCGATCATACAGGGGAGGGCTGCAGGAGGATAAAATACAACCGTTTCCGACCACATCTTTCACCGAAAACCCGCGTCGGGCCGAGAGGGGGTGGGCCGCTTCGGGCGGATCTCATAGCACTCCAAGACTGCAAAGATCATAGAGGCAACGCAGATGCATGCAGAACCGATTGTTTTTGACAGTGAGCTCGAGCGAGTCAGTGAAACCCTACAGGCAGTGCAAACTCGCTTGCTAATGTCCCGAAAGGCTGCTACTGGCCAGTCAACCTGCTTGGCATGCCACCATCGATGCACGAAGACGGGCCTGCAGGATCAGCAGCTCCTTGGTCAGCGATCAGGGCGAACGGGAGCGTTCTGGAAGCGCGCGCTGGAGTCTGAGTGTAGCTCCCTGCGGTATGTACGGGTAGAAGTGCTATGTCAGCTGGTACCGTAGTTGAATCCGTTATGCAGTGTGTTGACGTCGGCATGGAGGATGATGACTGGGAGTCGATAGGGGTTCAGACCTTGAGGGCGAATCGATCCGCCAAATGTGCAAAATTGTTTTTCTTTTCCTTCCGTTCCCTGTCTCTCACCCAGCGCCTCGAGTAGCACATGTACGCTGTTTATGTGCCGCAATGCGAAAGTTGAAGTGGCGGGACGTCACACCCAAGACATTTCTGGCCTCTTCTTCAGGCCGCCTACCCACAGCTGAAGCCAAACAGTGACTCTTCGGGACACATCCTCTAGGGACACCCCCTCTTGCTGCAGGATATGCTGCAGCCTCCATCAAAGACCTGTTTTGATTCGCCCGGACGCCCATCAAGCGAAGGGTTCCACAGTCAAGACTTTAAACATCTCCAGACCGGCAAGCCTGCTGGTGTGCCTAGAACTTAAAGAATTACCTCATTGCCTTGGTCTGGTCCGCTCCAGGTTGTAGTTGCCCCATTGCATTGTGAAAGAGAACCGAAGATCAGTCTCGCAGTCTTCCGGCTCGTGGATAAATCGGCATGGATACGAGTATCTTGTCACCAACTCGTTTATAGTGTTGGTCAAGCGGGAAACCCCGTTCCTTGAGAAAATGGCAGGCGCTTTTCCTGAAGAGACATCGAGAAGCCGAAGTCTGCCCCGATACCGAAGCCGAGAGATTGCGACGGTCGAAGCGACAGAGCACACCAACGGCTCCGGGGACTGGGCCAGCAACGCCGAGGCCGGCGGATACCGCCAGGGGCCAAGCCAACGACCAAACGTCACGGCGGGCCCTGACCCAGGCTACCAATATCCCCCATTGCCAGCAGCATTACCCATGCCGAGGAATGATGCCGGCGTGCCGCCGCTGACAACTTCCGCGCTTGATACGCAGATGGGAGGCATTACACTGGAAGACAAGAGCGTCCAAGGGGGGGCAACGGCTTTCCCAGATCAGACTGGCGAGGAGCTGGCAGCGCTGGCCGAGTACCCGTACTCAGTGTACAACCACGGGACATGGACGGCGGCAGACGACAGGACCCTGATCATGGCTCGGTCTCGGGGACAGAACTGGGCCGACCTGCAGCGGGCGTACTTCCCCACCAAGACGGCCAACGCATGCCGGAAGCGGTACGAGCGGCTGGTGGAGCGCCGCGGGATACACGACTACAGCGCGCGAAAGCTCGAGATGGTGGCCAACGAGTACATGAACATGCGCAAGGAGATCTGGTCTGGTCTCGCCGAGCGGGTGGGGATGAAGTGGGAAGTCGTCGAGTCTCTGGTAACGCATCGTCGATCCTTCCGTAGTGTGTGTCCCCGGATAGGGAAAATGATGTATGCTAATAATAGCTGAGCAAAGTGCATGTCGGCTGGGCTGCGGACCATCCAGTCCAACGCCCGATCCTACACCAACCGCTCAAGACGAGACAATCGAATATCGCAGAAGACTCGTGAGGCGCAAGCCGAGGCCGCTGCCGCAGGCCCACTCAGCTCTGCTGTCCCGGCGGCAGGCCCGATAGGCACGGGGTTTGGGGTTGCGTTCGCGCGGAAGGTCACCGGCAACCCGGAGTTGAGTACTACTGGTAGTAGTCCGGGACACAACACATCGACTTCGCATAACCCCCCTCGCAGCAACGCTGGCATCATGCCGCCTCCTCCACTCATCCCTCCCAACTTGAACCATGCTTCCCTTCCAGGCTCACTGCCTCGTGGGCAGCAGGTCCCCTTCGACGGGTATCTCAACGGTAGATCTCAGCCGGAGAGCGGGCAGTCCCGGGAGCCGCAACCACCGGTTCCGGGAAGGGGGCAAGATTGGGTGAGTCCCACGTTTCGCGGGCCTGTTTAGAGACATGACTCGGTCAACAATAGAATGAATAGAATCCTTGTTCTCCAACAGGCGCGGCGCCTCGAATTATAAGTGCCCCATAGGTAAGTAGGCAGGTGAAAAGGAAAACAAACAAGGAACATCCCATATCCAATTCCCCAAGTCAGGCTGTCATCCGTCCGCCCAGGCAGCCATGAACATGGCCAACACCTCTCCCGTGCCCTTCCGGAGCGAGGGCATATCCAAAAACGCCTTCCTTGCCAGGCCAATCTCCCCCGCCACGACACCAACCCGGCGCTGCACCTCTGCCCTCGCCAGCTCGGCATAATCACCACGGCCGCCGCTGCCCTTCCCCAATGACTGAGATTGGGATTCGAAAGACCAAGCCTGCGAGTTCTCTCCATGCCCATGCCCATGCCCATGTTGATCCTCAACCCCCACCCCCTCGCCATGTTCTCCTTGACCCTCCCTTCCCGGCACATCCCCATGCCCATGCACACGCCCGTACTCGAACGCACCCAAAACACTCCTTAACCGCTCAAACAACCCCCCGGCCATGAGAATCACCATAAACATGTACCCGGCCATCGCGACCTCGGTGGGCGGGGCAAAACTCCCGATGCGAAGCGGTGGCAGGAGAACGGCGGCGCCCAGCGATTGAAGTTGTGGTTGCGGGTTCGGGTTCATGGTCAGAGTGGTGATGCAGGCGCGCATGTGGGTGAAGATGAGCGAGTGAATGTCGAGCACGCGGTTGGCGCATGAGAGGATCAGAAGGGTGGTGGCTTTGTCTTCATGTTCTTCAAGTTCTCCGCATGATGGGGGAGGGTTGTGGTCATGGCCATGTTGGGGTGGGCTGGTGGTGCTGGCGCTGGTGCTGATAAGATGTGGGATGAGGTCGATCAGGGTCTGAGTCAGGCGGAAGGTGGTGTCTATTGGGAATTTGTAGGGCGTTTTGGCGGATGCGGGCGGGAATCCAGACGCGGATGCCGATGCCGGGCCCTGACCTGGCGGGCAGTATGACCTCGGGGGAATGAGCTGGAGGTGCTCGTACAGTTGGACGTGGAGGTCGGCTAGTTGGCGGATGTACTGGGACCGGTCTGTGGTTGGCGTTGTGTTACTGTTGCTGCTGGGGCCGGGGATGAAGGTGGAGGCAGTGCCTGGGAGCTCAAGCAGAGACCCGGAGCTCTCGGGAGACGAAGTTGCTGTGTTCCCCAGGACATCCCACCCCTGACCGACATCGCCGAAACCGAGTGGTACCTCAAGATTATGGAATACTGGCCAACCGAGCAAGACGCTGCCGTCGCCAATACTAGTGCCGGTGGTGTTATCCGTTGAGAATGGGCACGCGATTTCTTGGGCTGTCACATCCAGACATTGGAAGGGCAGGGCAGCATCGTTGCCCAAGGATTCGGGGCAGAAGCGGAAATCTTGGCCGCCCGTGTTTTCTGGCACTGATTCGACTGGCTCGGCCGACTGTGATGGCGAAACTGGGGATTTGGGCCTGCTTGACCTCCGACGCTGGCGAGGGCTGAAGACACAGGTAAAGTTCAATCGCGTGCAGCGCACACAGCCCGCGCTTTGGCGGTCAGGCCGCTGGCATCGCAGCTTCTGTGAATGGCAGCGGTCACAAGCAAGGCGGTTTTGCGGGGCAATTCGTCGCGCCATTTCGTGGTAGACAATTGAGCCAGTGATGTGTTCAGGTCGGTCAGTTGTTCAGTGTTGCCGATGAATTGGATCCCGGTGAAGGTCAGGTCGCGTTTGGCGAAGGAACTGGGGTCCAAGACAGCAAAACGCCGAGTCACGTAACGCCGAAGGTACGAAACGCCGACCCAACGGCAGTCACGACAACACCGCACTGCGCTATAAATTGCCGTGGTTCTCACTGTCTTCGCATCGTTGCAGCATAGCTGTTTGCAGTGACGATTAGTTGTGTCAGTGTGATTGTTGTGCATCTTCGACAGACTCAGGCTCAAGTAGGTAGGCAAGTACTTACGCACACCGTTTTACAAATGCCAACACCTCCCGATTAAACCTCTCCGGCTCTTCATAGAATAGCCAGTGACCGGAGTCAAACACCGACATCTCTACTTTCCCATCCAGCGTCCCACCGCGCCCTTTCCTAATCCTCTCTACAATTTCGGCCATGCCCGCTAGCGGGAAACACCCGCTCCTCCGGCCGGCCATCACCAGCGTGGGCAGTGTGATACCCTCAATCGCCTCGCGGTGATCGTATCTCGTATGGTCAGCCAGCAGTTTCGCCAACCACTCCCCATTACACTTTGCGCTAACCGCCGTGAAGAACTCCTCGTCCTGTCGAGCCTGCTCATCAGACACCCCATCCGTCCTCAGCGGATGATACCTATAGCCGAGACACTCAGCAACCAACGCCCTGTGGGTTTCCTCGGGCCTGCTGACCCAGCCTTCCTGGGCAGCCAGCAAGCTCTTCTCATCGTAGCAGCCGCGATGAGCCCTGGTCTCGTCCCAGGCACCGAAGATGGACCGATCCTGCAGCGGGGCCTGGTCGACAAAGACGAAGCCGGCAAACTCAGACTCCCCGAAGAGCTCAATGTGGGTCCAGAGAATCGCAGCACCGATGGAGCAGCCTACGGGGATGAACCGCGTGGATGCGCGGTCTGTGCGACGGCGAAGATGGGTGAGCAGCTCGCGCAAGTCGGTAGCGAGGCGCGCGACGTGGTATCCGCCCCTGGCGGAGTTGTGGCCCGAGCGGCCGTGGCCGCGCATGTCGGGGGCGACGACCCAGTGTTTCTGGGAGAGGGCGTCAAAGTTGCGAGTGAAATACCATGAGGAACCGCTGAAGCCATGCAAGAGGAGGATACAGGTTGCGTACCGCTCCTGGTCGGAGTCGAGATCGGGCCAGTCCAAGAGAAGGGACGTCTGGAATGCAAGCTCGCAGCCATCTCCGGCTGTAAACGTCTCGTAATGCATGGCCACACTTCTCAGTGCCAAAGGCACCTTACTTTTGAGCAAGGCAAGCTGATTGGAATAGTTTGGAGTCAATCGAACTTCTTTTGGGTTTGATGGTTCAACGGTGGAAGGTGGAATAGTTTCTGCTCGTGGACGGGATCGGTTTGCCTCCTGCCGGGCCGAGCGGGCCTGCCTCGCGCTTTCCTGCCATTTGTGAGCCCTAACCCTGCTCGGGCCCTGATCTAGTGCTCCTTGATAACCCTAACCCGTACACAAAGATTCTCGAACGTTCCCGAAAATTCGCGAGTTTGCCCGCATTCACCAGGACAAACTCAACACTTCTGGAAGGCAGCAGCAGTTTCGCAAAGTGATTATGAGAATTCCGGATGCTTCCGGATGGCGCTCGCATGCTGACAATAAACGCGTCTTACGCATCAATGTAGGCCTAGGAATTTCTCATCAATGTGTAGACACAAAGTATTTAAACCTCCTGGTTCTGCTTCCCTGTGAATCTCACCATCAGCCAGAAAACAACAGCCTCTCAATCAGAACATCCAGACTCAGAGTCCCAAAACCACAATCTCAATTCACCAAGCCACTTCCACAGCACCCTCCAGTACCACTTCCAACAATTCATCTGGGCATCTTCTACCCAACAGCATCCCCCACAGCGCTCAACATGTTCACTCTCTACCCGCAAGCCTTCTGCACTCCCGCAGCCGACGTCAACATGAGCTTGGCACCGCTCTTCCGCTTCCTTGACGACTTTGACAACTACTCACGCGAAGTCAAGAGCGCCAAGCCCACCCGAAAGACTCCCTCGAGAGCCGCGCGGTCAGGCCTCGCCTCCTTCACTCCCAAGTTCGACGTCCGCGAGACGGAGGACTCGTACGAGCTAATCGGCGAGCTGCCCGGCCTTGAGCGCGAGAACGTAAGCATCGAGTTCACCGAGCCGCAGACCATCGTCATCCGCGGCCGCGTCGAGCGCAGCTATGGCCCAGACAAGAGCGCCAATGCCACCACCAACAGCAGCCAAACTTTTGGGACCACCGGCGCGACCAGCCAGAACCAAACACACAACTCCCACCACGCCACGGTCGAGGACAGCCCAGACGAGGACGACGATTTTGAGAGCATCTCACCGTCCACAACCACTCCCGTGGCAACGCCCAAGACCACACCCGCGGTTGCTGAATCATCCCCTGCTGCGCCTGCTCAGGAGGTAGCCAAGGCCCCGGCCACGACAACAACGACAAAGGACCAGGCAAAGTACTGGCTCTGGGAGCGGTCTGTGGGCGAGTTCTCGCGGGCGTTTAGCTTCCCTAGCCTGGTCGACCACGAGAGCGTCACGGCCGGGTTGAACAACGGTATCTTGACGGTTAAGGTGCCAAAAGCGAAGATGCCTGCTACTAGGCGCATTGCTATCAACTAAGGTCACGGATTCGGTGGGATTTGGGTTTTGAGCTCATCAGGATTGGCATGGTGTTTATGGTTTTCGGGAATGCATTACATAGAGGAGGCTAATGCGTCTTGGTCGGCATCCGGATTGCATGAATCATTCATTGGGCTGCATGCTGGGTTCGGATCATGGCGTTACTGCACTTAGGGCTTAGTTATGAGGAATAGACACTGCAATCCTCACTTCATTTTGACATATAAGAATTTCCAGTGCCTCTGTGTGCTTTGTAGTAGGGGATTCGATATTGATATGGTTATGCTTCCATCTGTACAACTACTAGTAACTGGTCGACTGTTGAAGTGGCTCACATCAAACTCCCAAGGTTGCCTTCAGTCTCATCATGAATGACATACTGCCAATACACATTGACATCTTCTACCCGGAAATAACCGATTAAGGAAAGGCGAACCGTTCGTTCGGGCACCGTCGATGGGCCAAAGTTGATACTTCATCTCTCGTTAACGACAGTACTTCTGTATAGCAGCCTCAAACGCTATTTCCTCCTACTGCACTCGCGCAACACTTCCACCGGGTATAGTAGCTAGCTAATGCTCGGACAAAGGCCGCCCACCAAATGTAAAAAGAAAAGTGCGAAGATGAAGAGGAAACTAAAAGAAGAGAGAAAGAAGAGAAAAAAAGGAGAAGGAGAAAGCCAGGCTGAAGTAAAAGAGAACCCCTCTCAAGAACAAGCATCAGAAACAATCTTCCCCAACCTCTCCCCACACACCATCATACTAAAATGATCCTCCCCGTCCATAACAAACACCTCAGGTTCATCAAGAGGAAAAAGATCCCTCCACCTGCCCGCGCTCCAATCCCGCCTGGGCTCCGTCAGAAACTTAATCCCCTCCGGATCCTCCGGTCTTGTCTCAAACACAGGCTTGCCCGGCCGCCCATCAAACACACATCTGCCCGCCCACACGATGCTAGTCTTGGGCGTGAAGCCCTCCGGGAGCGGATCCGCAACATAATCCCTCAGCATCTCCACCTGGGCACGGAAATGCGGCACCAGCGTAGCCGGCGGCTCGCTCTTTGCGGAGGAAGCAGAGCCGGGCATGCTGCCGAAAATGTTTGCCTTGGAACAGTGCTCGTACCACCGCGCAGGGAGCGGATCGAGTCCCGTCGGTGGTGGGGCATCGATCAGGACCAGATGGTCCACCTGCTCGCCCTGCTGGATGAGCATCTGCGCGGCGCGGAAGGCGAGGATGCCGCCCGACGACCACCCGCCCAGGAGGTAAGGGCCGGAAGGTTGCCGCCGGCGGATTTCGGTTAGGTATGACTCCATCAAGGCATCAAGGGACACATTTTGGGGGGTCATCTCCTCGGGATGGCGGAGGTAGGGGCAATTGAGCCCGACAATGGCAAGACCGGGACGCACGAAGGGGGCCATGGCGGCATAGGATATCGCGCAGCCTGAGCCGTCGGGGAAGAGGATCAGGGTGTTTGGATCGGTGTGAGGACGGCCGGAGAGGATGACGGAGGACGCGGGGCGTGCGGGGCGGCGGGTGGTGCTTGGTTCGGGCTTTCGCTCGGGCTCTGGCTCCAGGACAGCCGCGCTGAGAAATGAGCCTGGCGTGGTAGGCGTGCTACTTATGCTCTCACCAGCTTCGGACTCGAAGAATGAGCTGGACGCTGATGAGGAGATGCTAGAGACCGTAGAAGGAGTCGGTGCCGGGTTGGAAGCAACTGGTCCGGTGCTGAAACCGAGGAAGCGCTTGAGGTCGCGCACTGAGAGAATCTCCGAAAACCAGGAGGCGCCAGAAGGCACTTCGATATCGAGTTCTTCGCGGAACCGAGCAGTTATCATGAGAGACAGCAGCGAATCGACGCCCAAGTCGGCAAACATGACGTCGTCGGTGAGTTCGTCGACAGGGATGCCTGACTCCTCAGAAATAACTTGCAACGCTTTCGTCACCACGCTGTCGTTGTCGGACACGGATTCATGCACTGGATAACTTGGCAAGCTAACGGGCTCTTGCACCTGCTGCGTAGATAATACGCTGTCCTCGACAAGCCGTTGGGTTTGCGCTATATCCCCACTGACCTGCGCTGGCATGGTTGGACCATTCATAACCATGCTTCGCTCTTCAGGGGCGGAGACGTCGGGCGTTGCATCAGAATCATCAGCGTCGTACCCATCAGGATCGATGAGTTCGCAAAGCCCCTTGACAGTCAGAATTTGCGAGAACTTTGTGAATTCGACGGTGATCTCCAGCTCCTCAGTTAGCCGACTGGCGATCTGCAGCCAGAGCAGCGAGTCGATCCCCAGGTCGGCGAAATCGGCCGATTCTGTCAGCTCCGTGCGAGGAATTCCCGTCTCCTCTGAGAGGATTTGTAGGAGTGTCTGGACTTTTCTGCTACCTCCACTGCGAAGCTTAGGCCGTGCTTTCGGTAGTTCGGCCATGGGCTTCACGAGAGAGAAGGTGGTCTCCTGCCCAGAAGCAGAGGCGGCACCCTGAAGTGCGTCAGGGGCTGGCAATGTTGAGGACGTAGAAGTAACCGGGGCTGAGGTGGCAGGTGAGGTGAGCTGGGCCTTTTGCGGCTTCCCGTGCTGAGTGGCCTTAGGCGCTCCATTGGGAGACGATTCAGGGGTTGCATGGCCATACGCGTTGGAGAGGATATAATGCAGTACGCGTCTCGGAACGCCTTGCAGGTTGATGCCACCAAACCAGGCAACGACGCGATCCTCCTCGCAATCCAGAACTAGGCAATCTCCCTCCCAGCGTTTCGCCGGCTTCTCCTCCATCTTGCAATAGGTACGATACTTCTTGTCCTTCGCAAGGGGTTCAAAAAGCTGAAAGCTCTGCCACCCGTGGTTGACAAAGACTTCGCGCTCAAGATCAGCACGTTCGTTTCCATTCATGACGAACCCTGCACTCTGACCGATTGCATCGATAGCCGCGGGGTTCGTATGGAACGTGGTTCCGGGACGAGAAGTGAGGCTGGCGAAGCTAACAAGGCTCGAGGCGTCCATGGCATCAGAGTTTAACACCACCTCATCTAGCTGCCGGAAATCGGGGTCAAACTGGGCCAGCGAGCCTACCATCTTGTAGACCATGGCTTTGCTAAACCGGAAGGCTCTACCCACGCTGACCTCCTTGTTGAGGGCCTCGATGCGCGATTTCGCAGCTTCAATCTGTCCCTGCACGTCACCAAGTGCAGCAGTCCGCTCGCGGAACACAAGCTTGCAGTGGCTATGCTGCTGGGGCTTCTGCGTCCTGGAATCAAGTGTCGCAAAACGACATGTTGCAGCGCAGCTCTCCATGTTAAATTCGATGCTGCAACGAAGGACTTTCTGCTGTGGGATTCTGGGCGCAACGAGCGCGCTCTCGATAGTCAAGTCCTCCACTCCGATGACGCAACCTTTCAGGCGAGGTGCATACTTGTCGATAATATGTGTGCCAACACGGAGCGCAATCTCGGCGTAGACGGAAGGAGTGGCCAGCGGGATGTTGTTGACTCTATGTCCCTGCACAAGAGGCTTGATGTCTTCGCGGTTGAGGTCGGTCTCAACGACGATGGAAATTGTTCTGTCGTCAACGGACCCATCATGGCAGACTCTGTGGATTGAGGTGCTTTCGAGCTTGGGCACAAGTACTGCTGGTCGTGGAGGTACCTTGATGGTCGAGGAAGCAGACGGTTCGCTTGGACTGAAAGTGATTGGGGCCTTCAGGCTGTCCGGAACGGGGTCGCCTTTGCGAAGCGACCAGTCGTGGACATACTGGATCCAGTAGTCCTTGAGATCCCATTGGTACGCTGGCAGCTGCACTACACGATGCGATGCTGGGAAGGCGCTGTGATACTCGCGCCAGTTAACGTCGCAGCCCAACACGTACAGTGATGAAAGTGACTGCGGGAGTAGAGAGAAGGCGTCTTGACCCTCCTTGAGGGATGCCAAAGTGGTTATGCTACGTTCAGTGCCAAAGATATCCCGAACCATGCCGCAGATAATGGGCTGGGGTCCGATCTCAAGCACAACACTGCGGTCGTTCATAACGCCAACAGAATGAGCATATTGCAGCGCACCGAGGAAGTTGACCGGTTCTCGGCAGTGACGGCGCAGATATTGCGGCGAGAATGGGCCAGCCTCTCCAACAGCCACCGTGGTGGCCGTCAAGGGACATATGACAGGGATGGCAGACTTGTGGAACGTCACTCCCTGGCAAGCCGCTTCAAACTCGTCGAGAATGGGATCCATTTGTGCAGAGTGAAACGCATATGGCACGGCGAGCATCACTGTCCTGACTCCCTGTGACTGGAGCTGATCCTTGGTGCGGCGTAATTTGTCAACCGCACCAGCAAGGACGATGTGTTTGGGCCCATTCATGCACGCAATCTCGCGTGGCCGGCCAGACAGGCACCGGTCCAGCACGTCCCGTGAGTCACGCACAGCTAGCATAGCGTGCGAGTTCGGTTTGCACCGCTCCTGGAGGAGCTGGGCACGCCTTGCGACGAGGAATATTGCGTCTGACTCGGATAGCACGCCGGCCACGGCGAGGGCGGCATACTCCCCTAGACTGTGACCCACGACTGATGCAGGTCGGACGCCCCAGGACATCCAGAGGCGGGCGAGGGCTAATTCCAAACACACGGTGGCAACTTGCACGGTGACGGCGTCGAAGCTATCGATCCGCCCTCCGACGCCAGCGCTCGCGCATATCAGGGGCATGACTGAGGAGAAGCCTTGCCGCTGCAGAATCTGGTCAAAACGGTGCATGTCCGCGCGGAAGCTGGGGAAGTGCTCGAGAAGCTGTTTGCCCATGCCGATGTATTGCGACCCGTTGCCAGTAAACGCAAAGGTAATGGGCGGCGCGCCACGGCAGCGCGTCACTCCATTCCCATGCTCCAATGCCTTTCGTAGCCCGGCCTTGATGTGCTGGAGATCCGACCCTTGAACAGCCACGCGGTGTGGATAATGTGCGCGACGCGCTGTAGTCGTGTAGGAAAGAGTGGGCAGAATCAGGTCCTGGGAGTGGGAATTCTGGTCAAGGAAGGCAATCAACGACTCGATATTGCCTTTTAGAGAGGCCGGCGTCTTCGCTGACACCGTGACAATGTGCGTCGATCGCGGGTCGGTGCCCTCAACAGCTGGCAGCTTGGGAGCATCCTCGATCAGTAAGGCGCTGTTACCGCCCGCAGCACTAAAGTTGTTGACGAAGGCTCTGCGAGGCCTGCCATTTTCCCTCCACTCTACGGGTTCGAGCGCGATTCTCACATTGCGTTCGTCCATATCCTTGGGGAAATTCCTGTTGCGCTCTGTCCTGAGCCCGGCATGAGGCGGAATAGTGTTGTGCTTCATCATCATCAAAACCTTGGCCAGGCTAGTAACACCTGCAGCTGCCTCGCCGTGACCAACATTGGATTTCACCGTGCCAACGTATAAGGGCTTGTCGGCTCCTCGCAGGAGCGACCCACTGCGTGGCGCGAAGGTGTCGACCACGGACTCCATCTCGGTGGTATCACCGGCCTGGGTTCCGGTGCCGTGCATCTCGACATAGCTAACGTCGAGGGGGTCAACGCTGGCGTCGTTGAGAATTTTGGTAAAGATCTGCTTCTGCGCATCTGCCAGCGGCCGCGTGATGGAGTCAGCCTCGGCCGAGTGGTTGGTGTAGGCACCGAGGATGACGGCAAGGATGGGGTCCTTCTCCGCCAGGGCATCGTCAAGGCGCTTGAGAATGAGGGTGCAGCAACCCTCGCCGCGGCAATAACCGTCGGCCGTCTGGTCGAAGGACTTGCAGTTCCCCGTACGCGACAGGAAGTGTCCGCGGTCCAAGCCTGCTGTGTAGTCGGGATTCGTCAGAATGTTGGTGCCGCCCACCACGGCGGTGTCCACGTCGCCTTGCCACAGCATATTGCACGCATTGTGAAGAGCTGACAGGCTGGATGAGCAGGCGGTATCCTGGCTGAAACTAGGACCGCTGAACTTGAAGAAGTAATTCACACGCCCCGGAATGAAGGCGCGGCAGCCTCCGGGGATGAAAAAGGTGTCGATATTTTGCGCACTGTTGACCTCCATCCAGTCATTGCTCGTCACGCCGTACGCTACCCCCACCCGATCCTTTTGCGTGGAGGGTGTGGTACCCGGCACCATGCCAGCCTGCTCCATGGCCTCGTAGGCGGTCATGAGGGCGAGCCGACTTGCCGGGTCTATCTGGGGCGCTTCACGGGGCGTCACATTGAAGAACTTGGCGTCAAAGAGGCCCGGATTGTTTAGCCAGCACCCGTACGGGGTGCCGCTGGTGTTCTTCCGCTTTCCTGTAGGATCCACGTGCGTAGCTGCATTCCAGCGCGAAGGAGGGACAACCTTGTGTACGTCAAGGCCATGGAACAATAGATTCCAAAAAGCATCTGGGTCCTCTGCTTCAGGGAACCTACCAGACATTCCCACGATGGCGATCTTTGACTTGCCCGAGGCGCTGTTGTAAGCGGCCGGCGACCGCGCCCCTGTGGCCTCATTTGGTGAGGACACCTTCGGGGAAGCCTCAGCCAGCAAGTTTGTTGCCTCGACCACATGTCCACGCTGCTCGAGTGCCTTTCGCAGGTGACCGTCCAACGTGGTGCCAACGGCAGAGACGGAAAGCGGCGCGCCGGGTGAAGAGAATCGTGAAACATAAGCGACACCGCTGATCAAGTCTTCGAAACGGATCGGATTGATCAAAATATCTTCTACCGCGGTCTGTAAGAGGTCACGATAATTCCTTGCGCTTTTGAGCCTGCCCGTCGCAGAGGAGATGACTGGTAGTAGGCTCGTTTGCCGAGCCCAATCAGCATCTGGATCTGCGTGGAGAATAGCTTCAACGTCCTCCGACGTAAATAGATGTTGGGCGTGGTACGGCGCATATAGAGCGAGATCCGCTATCCGCCACCCTGCGGCCCTTTTGGCTTCCGCAAAAGCTCGAAGAATGGATGGCGGACCGGTAATGGCTAAGCTCGTTCTGGATGTGAAGCTAACGTTCAGGCGGGAATAAACGGGCAAGCGCTGCAAATGGTGTGACTTGTCAGTTGGGGGCCGTTCACGCGCTTGGGAAGGATCTCGTCAATCTTACGGAACCTCCTCACCTTTTCAGCCAAAAACTCAGCAACAGTTTTTCTAACTTCATCCTCGCTCGCACTGCTCACAGCAAGCGTCCATGATTCGGAGCCCCGCTCGATCGACTGGCCGAGCTCGTAGGCGCAGAGGCCTGCCCGGAACGCAACAGCAACAGCATGAGGGGCGAGCTTGAGGAGGTCAGAGACATGTCTTGAGCAACTAATTGCAGCGGCAGCGAGCGCTCCAGTGCATAACCCGGCGAGGTACGAGTCTGCGTGCTGCGTAAAGAGGTCGTCTGGCTCCCCGCATCGACTATTTTACGAGTCAGCTACAGTCAACGAAGACTGGATCATATTCGCCCGAGACAGACGCACGCTATGAAGGCAGCCAGCTGCAAAGTGCAAACTAGCGCTTTGTGAAGTGCGGGATGGAGCGGTCCGCGACGCTGCAGTGCTACTAGGTCCTGGATGCTGGAGAAACGTGGGAAGCGGGCATGTTGAGTGGACGTCGTACGAGCAATCTCAGCCCGGAGGACACGGTAAGCGGCATTGAAGAAGGCCTGAAGGAGGGGGTCGTGGCCTTGCCGCAGGAGGTCGAGGAGCCCGGGCACCACATCAAAGGTCGAGTCCCCGATCAAGTACACCCGAGCCTGTCGGCGATTTCGGGGGAGAGCCATGACGGACGACAGACGACGATGATGTCGAGGAGAAAAATCGGAAGATTGTCACGTCACAAACGGCCGACTATCCAACCTTGCCGCCCTCTTATTAAAGGTTGTACAAATCCGACACAGTGGTACGGACGTTCAATGGCCCCCAGGACTGGACGGGATGTGGGATAGCCATCAAGCCATGGATACTTCGGCTGCTCCCTCTCCCACCGGGTGGCATGCAAAGCTGCATCAGAGCTGGAACTTTCAGCTACCTACCTTCCAGGTTATCCTTGGCAGACCCGAACGAGGACGAGCCAAGAAGGCGCTGCAATCCGTTAATCCGTATCATGTTTCCAACAAGCAGGGCGAGGTGGCAGACCGCCAACTAAATCCGTATAGCTCGGAGCTCTTGCCTGTCGTGGCCGGTTGGTGCTGCAGGCGAGGTGAGCGATATTCGGGCGCCAGACTGGTGGGACGGGACCATCTGGCAAGAACACGTTGAAGTTGGATGGAAAGTAGGTAATTACAGCATGAGGTAACGTAATGTAACGCGTTACGTTCGGCGTTACGGGGTAAGAATTTGGTGAGACGCGAAATGCGGCGCTAAGGGAGGGCTGCCATCGAGAGTGTGGCACGGCTTGTGGCACGGCAAGTACGAACCGACCAATCGCCGACCGGGGATTGGTGGAATTCTCCCCGTGGTGGCGGGGCTGATAGATGGGTTCCAGTTGATGGCTGGTCGGCGGGGTAGATTGCTGCATCTGATGTTGGCGGGGTTGATGGTTAACGATGCGTCGATGGCAGCGTCAACGATGGCGGTTGGCGGGGTTGATTGGGGCTGTTGGCGCCGTGAACAGTGTATTCACAGTGGTTGAATTATTTGGACAGTATGCGCTGCAGGTGCAGCAGGAACGGACGGGACGGGAGATACCTTACCTTACGGTGCATAAGGTACCTAACCTTGATTCCTTCAGCACGACCTGGAAGTTTGCACTGGAACCCAACCCGGAACCTTCGGGAGTACGGGTGAGTGCTGACCTCCACCACTCTCTTCCGCCCCTACCTAAGGTTACCCGACCATCAGAACCTTAAAACTCAAGTCATCGAATACCAAGCTTAAGATAATAACTATAAATATTGTACAAGGTAGGTAAGATAGGATCCTGTGTTCCAGAGCAATTCCATGCGTCAGCCGAATCCTCCAGCTCCAGCTGACTGACATATCGCAATTCGTGTCAATAGGTTGCAGGCACAGTTGCTATCTTGCCTCCATCTACAAGCAACACACTGCCATTCACATACGCCCCCGCCTTGCTTGCGAGGTACAGCAAAGCTCCTGCAATGTCCTCGGCTGACCCAGCTCGTTCAGCAGGTAGGAAAGAGCGAGCGAATGCACCTTCCTCAGTGAGATCCTTGTCTTTGGATATCCTGAACGGTATCAAGGCCGGCGCGGAAAGATCTGAAGGGAACACTAAATGTTTTGGTTGATTACCAATTAGTTGATAATACTTGAAGGGACCACTCGTGGGCGGCGCAGACAGCATTAGTGTAGGGGAGGAAAACCACGTTTCCCGTCATGGAAATTGACGTTACTTACAGCCAGGCGCGATGGTGTTGAAACGGATGCCCCAAGACACACCGAATGTGGCAAAGCTCTTGACCATGCTGACCAATGCTGCTTTGCTGCTCAGGTAGGCAAAGCCGTACCGAGGGTCCCGCTGGAAGGCAACCATGCTCGACGTCGCTACAACCTGGCTGGGCGAGTCTCCAGGTTGGCGCCGTTTGTTGCCCGCATCGAGCAGCTCAAGAAAGGCCAGGATGGTGTAGTAAGTTGCAGTGCAATTAAGGTTGTAGACCTTGTCAAATTCAGGCATGGGCGTCGTCCAGGCACTGCGCACAAAGTCGGTCGCCGTTGCGCGGGGGCCGATTCCTCTGAGTCCAGGCCCCGCCATGCCGGCATTGGCCACTAACAAATTGATGTAGCCAGCTTCTTGGCTCACACGCTTCGCCATGGCCTCCAAGCTGTCCTTTGAAGTGACATCGCCAGGTAGTGGAATGAGGATGCTGGGAGACTGGTCAGCAGATGGAAACCGTCACGGGTGAGTTTGGGAGCGAATTAAACACAAACGAAGAGTGAGAAGAAATCCAACTTCCACTGCCGGACCTACTCAGGATACAAAGCTGCAGCTTCCCGGAGCTTTTCCTCACGCCGTCCAACAACGTAGACTTTTGATGCACCATTCTCTGCCAGGGCAGTGGCCATCATCAGCCCAACACCTGTTGACCACGAATAGCACCACGGAGGTGATTAGCTGTTAGCTATTCACACATCATGCTTGACCCGAGGGAGCGTGACGAACCTGTGCCGCCCCCCGTGATTACGGCGACGAGGCCGGCAACGCTGAAGAGCTTGTCGCACTTGAGAGAACTGGCCATATTTGTCGCACGGTTTCCAAGCTGAATCATGCCACTTTCATCTCAAGAAAAGACAGAGCGAGATGCATGCTGATATACTCAGCTAGCATGGTGTCTTCTGGTACCGTACGATTTGACCAGTTGTGTACCTCCGTACCTTAGCCTGGTAATCTGGAAAGCTCGATCCAGATGGACAACCTGAGGTAAGGTACTGTATTGTAGGTGCAACACATACCGTAGTCAAGGTTTCTTCAGGCACTAACTGCACTATACTTAGCGCTGTTGTATGGCGTACTGTACTGTACTTTATGTATTGTACATACATACAATACATACACAGTACACTCCTGAGCCAGTGGGTCCTAAGCGCCCGCGCGCCCGTTGACTGCTGTTCGGCAGTGAGACACGCCGCCGCGCGGCTGCATAACCACTACGCTGGACATTACAGTGCCTCAGATACGGTGCCCTCACAGGCTGAGGTGCTTCAGTTCCATTCAGTTCTCTAAAAGAAGGGAAAGAACTGCCCATATCTACCTACCTACCTAATCAATACCCAAACCCGAGCTTGCCGGTCGTCTATAAAACACAGGTTGGGCTTCATTGAACTTTCTCTTCTTTCGTTTTTGCCTGGCGCCGCCCATCGTGCCATTTACTTTCGCTGCACACATGTTTACCATCCGACAAGCACCTCTACGGTCGCTGCTAAGAGTTTCGCAGCCGCTCTACTTTTCTAAACCGGGCATTCGCACCTTCGCTACCTCAAGAATGGGCGCTCCGGTGATTCTGTGTGGAAAGACTGAGGCCGTTGGCACCGGCGTCATCGCCAGCCTGAAGCCGGAATTCGATGGTGCGTAATATGCCGTTTGCACAGCGCTCTTTGTGGATTGTGAGACGAGAGAACATTGGCGCTGATATTGTGTCTGATACTTAGTCATCCACTTCGTGATGACCCCCGAAGCCGGGGCCAAGCAAATCCCGGCAATCTTCAAAGGCGAGAAGGAGGTTGAGACGGACTCTTCACTGGGCAGCCACGACTACTCGCAGAAGCCTGTGGCTGTTATTCTGGGCGGGGGCTACGACGATGCAGGTACCGAGGTCATGATGAAGGCGGCGGCCGGCATCCACCCCATTCCCTGGCTGCGGCCGGATCTGACCAAGCCTGCCCCACCCTTCGGCACCCCTGACTACGGCAAAGCGCTCGTCCAGCGCATCAAGGAGCTGCTGGCGCAGCTGGAGAAGGAGGGCAAGATGCACGAGGAGAAGGTGTGCTGGTATTAAGTGCTGACTGCCTGAGCCTATCCAATTGCTCGGATGATTAGCGTAGCAAATGAACCGAGTATGACAGTAATTGTCTCCTGCATGTCTATATTACCACAGTATCCTCTGCAACTCGTGCTTGGGGCTGTGAACCTGAGGTCTGTAACCTGGAACGTCTGAATTGAGTGTGGCTGGTCCGCGGACCCAATTAGACGACTCTCTTTCCCTTGCTACAGGTGCTTAGCTTCAGGAGCCTCATAAGGCTAGAAGGCGCCACATGGGGCATTCACCCACTATACAGTGGGTACCTTAACAAGTCCTTGAACCTCAGGTAAGGTACCTTACTGTACAGTACTGTAGGTAATCGATAAGACGAACGTTCGGTGCATTATGGCGGGGTACCTTAATGGAGCCCAGGGCCAAATCCCACAAGCTCACCAGTCAACCTTTGCAATTTCCACCATTTCAAATCGAAGTTTTTCCAACACGTGCGACTCGCTCTTCTACCACGTGAAACAGACAGCATTTCCGATGGGGATGCTAAGAGCCCACGCAACCAGACGCCGCACGATATTCAAGACGCCGCACGATATTCAAGACGCCGCACGATATTCAAGACGCCGCACGATATTCCAAGCTATCGCCCGCCCGTCTTGACGACTTGCCATTAACGTCCTAATCGGCGCTGCGGCGGTGCAATCAGCAATGTGACGCCCCCCTCACCGGGCGGCGTTGCACCCGGGGCATTTGGTGGAGCCGTCTGACGGAACGAGTAAGGAGTCAAGGACGAACTGCCTGTGCCGTAAATTTGGAAGCATGGCAGGTTTTGAATCGCGCGGCAAGGTATGCCATAAGCATCGAATAAGACAGAGAATCGCACATTTAGGCGGATTTTGCGCCTCATCGTCTCATAGATCTACTACTCCAGAAGGACGTCAGGATGTGGCGCGGTAATACTACCGCAACCCTCCCACCGGACGTCGAAGCTGAGGGTCTGGAATCCAGGTCGCTCAAGATGGTACAAGTTGGCAGCATGTTCCTGCAAGAATCATCTCATGCGGACACCGTGATCAGACCACAGCGTCCACCACAGTCCGTAGACGGCCCATCCAGCAGCGTCGTCCAACGTCGAACCAACACAGGGTCTGGTACCTTAGCCGTCACCAACTTCATCTAAGCGCCAACAGTCAACATGCCCGCGCTTCCGATGCTGCTCAAGCGGCTGGCGGCCGAAATCGCCGCCCGGCAGACCGAGGGCCCCGGAGCCGAAGTGCCACACGGAGACCCGAACGAAGGCGTGGCCGAGAACATCCGCCTCATCATCTTCGTCTCGGTATTCTCCATCGTCCTCGCCGGCGGCGCGACCATTGCCCGCCTCATTTTCCGCAAGACGTCAAAGATGCCCTGGCTGGCCGATGACTACCTCATCATCGTCGCTGCCATCATCACCAGCGCCGATGCGGCATGCTATCTTGCGTGCTTACCCTTCGGCTTCGGCCAGCACATGTGGGCCGTTGATCCCGCGCTGCTGTTGACTTTCTTCAAGATTGTCTTTGCCACCTTTATTCTTTATGGCGCTGCGGTCAGCTTCGTCAAGTTCTCGGTTCTGGCCTTCTACGCTCGCATCTTCCCCAGGAACAATTTCAAGTGGTGGCTGATCTCCCTCGGCGTCGCTTCCGGCGCGTGGTGGATCCTGATCACGCTGGCCTCGGTCTTGCAGTGCAACCCGGTGCAGAAGAACTGGGATGACTCGCTTCCGGGCTACTGCATCAACTATCTGGACCTCTACATTGCGATCCAGGTGCTCAACATCGTCTTGGACATTGCCATTCTGGCGCTGCCCATCTCGACCGTCATGAAGTTGCAGATGGGCCGCGCTAACAAGATCAGTGTGGCCATGACGTTTGCGCTCGGTGGATTGTAAGTTCAAGCTGCTCTCTGGTGATCCGTGTTTGTAGCAAGTACTGACTCGTGGTGAATCTAGGTCTGTCATCTTTGCCATCATCCGCCTGGGTATTCTCATCCAAAACCAGGACCAAACGGACATTACCTGTAAGTCTCAACTGAATCTTCTCTTTCCCGGCAAAGAGCCCAAGTTCTAACGCCCTACCAAAAGTTGGCACGGCGACAGCGGTCTGGTCCTTGCTCGAGCCGGCCTTCGAGACGTTCGTTGCTTGCCTGCCGGCCATGACACCGTTGGTAAAGGCCGGCCGCTACCTTGTCCAAAAGACAGGCACCTTGTATGGATCTTCCAAGGGCTCCTCCCGCGGCAAACTCTCCTCGGGAGACTCGAAAGAGTCACGCCCAGGACGCCCTCAATACATCGCGTCAGCGACAGTCGGTTCCCAGTACGAGGTGCTGCCCGACAATGGCTCCGGGTATAACGTGAAGAAGCCGGGCGTTGTTGTCACTAGCACGGTGACGAGCACAGTGACGAGGGATGGGTACTACTAGCCAGTGGTCTACTGAGTTTTGGGAACGTAGTTTCTTTGGTATGATTTCTTCTTTATACGGAACATTCCTGATGAAAGTTGGTCCATCTGGGCGCGACTCTCGGAAAGTACCTAGGATAAGACTTCTTGGTGTACTAGCTACGTTTTTCACATTTGGCATCATGGTGTATTTGATATACCCCTTTTCATATTGCGTCGAGGTTCGAGTAGTTTGAAAACACAAACTGGGATGAGAGAGGTGTTAGGGAGTTGACTTGGACGTCTCTACGTAAATGGAATACTACTAGATACTCGGCCTACTACATATCTGCATTGTGATTTTGTAACCCAAATCATCTCCCTTCGATCCAGACTTCAACAGCCGAAGACCAAGTCGACATGATTGAGGATCTACCTGTGATCCTGTGCTCATGCTTTCAGATCAACCCATGATCAATTCTAAAGTCCTCGGTAGGTGTTTCAAGCTGAAGCCAAAATTTGGAATGGAAGCCCAGGGTTGGGAACCATGGTAGATACCTTGAACTCCACCTATCTGGGAGTTGCAATAGCCGCCAGAAAGCCGCGAAACCAGCAGCCTGTTGTCTATAATTAGGGGCATCTCCATATCATACTGATTAGTTATCGTGGCTGTTCCCCCGCACCATTGTGTGACATGAGGCGTATTGTTCATACATTTATTGCCTTGATACCTTACTTTGTTACAATACCCGCTGCCCCTGAGTACCTTGGTGAGCGTCGTGTCAACCAAGGTCACATCGGCCTGCACAACAACAGACGACCTACATGTTCAGATGCCTGAGCCTCATGCCTGCATAACTGTATGCATCAGCAGCAAGACTGGCGCCCTGCCACGTAACAAACAAGGCCGAGGCATGCTTGTATTACAGTGTCTGTGACCTGTGCTGTGAACCTGTGCCTCTTGATAATACCCGCAACTCGGAGCACGCCCACATCCCGCATCGAGTAATTCTTCCGTTTGATTATGTGGCACATCTATCGGAGTACCTTTGTCATTCGGACTTAACGAGCCCCAACACCAAACATGAACCCTCCCTAGCCCAGCAACCTGCCAACCCCTCCCACAGTATTAGTCCGTTCCTAGTGCAGACGTCTAATGCCCATCTTGCGTACTTGGCGCCTTCCTCACTGGCCACGCCGCTTATCTTTCTTCCACACCGAGGATCCCGTTAGGAATAGGCTTCGTCCGTCACCGCGAACCCTGACGCCTCACGCCATGGCTGCCACCACCACCACCACCACCATCACCCCCCAACCAGCAGCCACCGGCCACGTTCTCATCGTCGGGGCCGGCCTAGGCGGGCTATGCCTCGCCCAGGGTCTCAAAAAACATGGCATCAGCTGCTCAATCTTTGAGCGCGACGACACCCCGCACGCCCGCGCCCAGGGGTACCGGGTCAAAGTCTTCCCCGACACGGTGCCAGACCTGCAGTATCTGACCACGCCGGAGCTCTTCGCCGAGTTTGAGGCGCAGACGGCCGAAACCGTCATGGTGGAAACCGCCATCAACGCCGTCGACGGCCGGCTGCTCGCCCGGCGTGCCCTGCGCGGGCCCAAGCCGTACACGGTGGACAGAGGGTTCCTGAGGCGGGTCCTCCTCCGCGGGCTGGAGGATTGTATCCACTGGGGGAAGGCGGCTAGTCACTACGAGTTTGATGAGAGCAACAAGTCCGCGCCTGTGACGGTGCATTTTGAAGATGGCACGTCGGCGTCAGGGACGTTGCTGGTTGGTGCCGACGGCGGGAGGTCACGGATTCGGAAACAGCTTGTGCCGCATCACAAGATTATTGATCCCGAGGCTGTCTGTCTGTACGGGCGCACGTACCTGACATCGGAGCTAAAGGAACGCATCCTGCCGGAGTTGCAAAGGGGGTTGTGCGTGGTGAGGGATGTGGCGCCGGTTATTCAGCAGATCATCTTCAACTCGGAGCTGCCGGTTACGATGTTTGTTGAGAAAATGCACTTCCCACACCGCGGGGAACAGGGCCATGAGGACCTGCCGGAGGATTATATGTACTGGTCCATGCTGGCACCGTCGAAACTGGTCGGGTTTACCGAGCAGATGGTTGCCAGCGCGGTTGCGAACCAGTCGCCGAAGGAGTTGGAGATGATGCTCACTCAGGAGTGGAGCGATTCCGTGAGGTGCTTGATTGAGTTGCAGGACGAGACGTTTGGGGTCGCGCTAAGGGTTACCTCGTCTACGCCGGATCTGTCTGAGTGGGAATCGTCGCCGTACGTGACGCTCGTGGGAGATTCGATCCATGTCATGTCGCCGTCGGGTGGTGTTGGCGCGGCTACGGCGATTAAGGATGCTGTTGCGCTCACCAAGGCGCTTACGGGCCCCGATGGGATGTCGTTGGCTAGTATCAAGGCGTATGAAGCTACTATGCGGCAGGTGGCCAAGAGCAATATTGAGCGCAGCTTCAGGGGTGGGAGGATGATTTACGGACAGCCGCCGCTCGAGCAGTGCAGGGTTTTGGATTTGAAGGATCTCTGATCTGATGCGGGCAGGTGCATACTATCAACCACCTGAGGTACTGGAATACAAAAGTTCGAGTTACCTAGATGGCTTGTTTGTCGTCTACTCTGAATGCGTAAGCAAATGTCAATGGTGGTGATGGTCCTGAGCAATTGCGGTCAGTCAGTTGAACCTGGGAATCGGGTGGAAACCCTTTGAAACTTCGGGGACAACCCCCGTCTAGACCATCTACAAGCTGATTCAGATAGCCGCCCCGCGTTAGTGAGATTTCAACGTGTTGTGAATCAGAGAAATCGGTGTACCTTGGTTAACAGAAACGATCGTGCTTTGTTCTGGCGCCACGTGGGTGTCAATGGATTCACGAAGGCCCCCTCATGTTCCGACTCCGGGCAGCTACTTCCGCAGGCACGAGAACGGGAGCAAAACGTGGGCCTGGCCCACCCGGCGTTTGGAAACCACGGGAGGGACTTCCTCAACCCTTTCCCGTCTGGCACTTTCACTTCAATATAGATAAGATCTACTGATTCGCTACCAACAGATTGCCGATGACATGCTTGCACCCCGCAATTGGGCAGCTGAACATAGAGCCGCAATATACTTCGTACTTGCAGGCGATTCTGATCTACCCTAGCCGGCAAGAGCAAGAAAGGCATCATGTTGTACTGTACATCGCATTCCCTTGGCGGCCTTACCTTCCTGCCTTGTAAACGCCCAGACCTGCAGTTGGCACCTTTTGCATCAGGAATTTGATATCACCAGGAAAGGCCCAGGACGGTCAGTTGGTGCTGGACTGCAGGTGCTACCGTGTAAGAGTACAGTACAGTTGCCACGCTGTGGCACTTCCTACTGGATTCATCAATTTTTTTCTTCCCCAAGAGCAAGACAAGCAGGGTGCACGTGAAGTTCCAAGTGGCCAAGCGAGTTTTACCTGCATCAGCGAGTGACCGGGAGATTCTATTAGGTGTCTGATAGCCATGATGCTCAACGATTACCACAGCCTGAGGTAAGGCAACCTGTGTAAAACCCGCGCCCTCCCTCGCCTGTGTAAGACGTGCGGCGTAGGCCGTGCAAAGACGGCCGGAAAACCACCGAACCTTTGCACCCCGGCGCTCCGTACACCCATTTCTAAGCAAATCCTGGTAAGCCGGCGGCTGCGCCACGGGGGAACTTCTAAGTCTGGATTCTCCAGATGTTCTAAATGCAACACCAGATCTGCATCGCAACCCTGTAAATTACCGGCCGGTCTTACCGTACTTTTCAATCTGTTACCATACCGTACACTACCCTCAGCCCCTTGTTTCGGTGTGCCATCACGGTGGTACCCACGTGCTGGGTACGACGCCGGGATCATGACGCTTCACTAAGTATATGCCTCCTCCTACCACTTGAACCAGTAGATGCACGTCAGCAAGGGAGAAGATCAGATCATTATGGCGTTTCTCGAGCTGCTCACCTTCACCAACGCCCTTCTCATCCTCACAGTCGGCCTCGGCCTGCTCGTGCTTTATGTGTTGGTAGAACGGTGGTTGCAGACCAGGGTGCTCTCGACCATCCCGAGCCCAGACGGTAATGTCTGGCTATGGGGCCGGCCGGGCCTGCCGCCGAACGCGATAGATGTCATGCGACGGTGGGCCCAGGAGTACGGCGAGCTGTTTAGGCTGCGGATCGGGTGGTACGACTGGGTTGTGATCAACAGCCCGGAGGCATTCAAGGAGATCTTTGACAAGCAGGTGAGTCCCCATGAAGCTGTGCGGAAACACACCAGGAGACTGACCGACCCGTGGATAGTCAATAGCAACCTCGTCCAAAATCCCCGCTCCCATCGGCCATGACCTCGTCACGGGCGGTCTGCGGATGTTCACCATGCCGTACGGCCCGCACTGGCGTGCCCACCGCAGCTTTATGCACCGGCTGCTGGCGCCAAAACCGACGCTCGAATTTGTCCCGAGCCAGGAGTTCGAGGTCAAGCAGTTCCTGTACCAGCTGGCCTTTGACAACGAGGACCAGGCCGCCTTCTTCCATCACGTGCGGCGCATGTCCTTTTCCATCGTCACCACCTCAACGTACGGCCGGCGCATCGAGTCGCAGGACCATCCCGAGCTGCGCTTTGCCGAGGAGTCGTCGGCGCTCCTGGGGCGTATCACCCGCCCGGGGGCCTTCATTGAGGATGATATCCCGCCTCTGGCCAAGTTTTTGCCAGAGCTTTTGCAGCCGTCGCGTCGACAGGCGAAGAAGTATGCTGATATCATCTTGCGTGGCAAGATGCGCTCCTGGAACCAGCTCAAGGATGAGATCAAGGCCGGGGTTGCGGCGCCGAGCTTTGGGCGGGATCTGGCCGAGAGCGATCTCTGGGAGCAGGGGCTCACGGATGAGGATGCCGCGTGGATCACTGGAGGTCAGCAAAGCAAACCTCCTATCACCCGTTTCATAACCCGGGAGAGCTGACATGAGCTTAGGCCTAGTCGAAGCCGGCGCCGAGATCACCTCTGTCGTGATCCAAAACCTGATTCTCTATCTCGCCGCAACCCCAGCAGCACAGCAAGAAGCCCACCAAGAACTAGACTCCGTCCTGGCCAACCGCCCCCCGACATTCTCCGACCTGCAGAACCTCCCCTACATCCGGGCGTGCGTCAAAGAAATCCTCCGGCTCTGCCCCGTTCCAACATGGGCCATCAAGCACTTCACCGACGCCGAGGTGCGGTACAAACATCACCGCATCCCCAAGGGAACCGTCATCCTCGCAAACACATCCTTCATGCACTGGGACCCAGACCGGTACCCGGAACCCCACGTGTTCCGTCCCGAGCGGTACCTGGGGCATAACAAGACCTCGGCGGAATATGCTGTTGCCAGTGATCCCAGGCAACGGGATCATTTCACGTTTGGCGGGGGAAGACGCATGTGCCCTGCCAGTCGTCTCGCGGAGAATACGCTCGATATTACGGTGGCGAATATGCTCTGGGCGTTTGAGCTCCGGCCGCCTTTGGTCAAGCAGGAGGATGGGAGGTTGGTTGAGGGGGTGGTGGATACGAGTGATAATGCGTTCCAGCCGTCGGCGTTTCGTGGGCCGAAGCCTTTCCGCGTAAGGTTTGTGCCGAGGAGTGAGGAGCGGTTGGAGATGGTGCGTGAGCAGTGGGAGAGTGCGAGGGAGACGGGTTATGTGCTGCGTGGGCAGAAGGTGCAGGTTGGAGGGGCGAGGGGGAAGGAGTGAGTTCAAGGGAACTACTATAGTAAGTAGGGAGAGGAAGGGGATTATTTGACGTTAAGTAAGGTACCTTACCCAGATTGATCATTGTATGTGGAAGGGTTTGGGGGCGGTTGGATCTGATATGGGATTGATGGTTGTAGAGCGTAGTACTTGATGGCTTCAAAGTTTCAGGGGGCTCATTGAATCGGTCCATCATCTTGATGTCGGAGAGGTGCGGTCAGAATATGTCCATAGCAATTGCTTACATTTGGAGTGAGCAGAAAGTGAAGCCCGTTTTATACGCTTGAACGCACAAGTCGACGGGAGTTCCGGTCATATTCATTCCTTGTAGCCAAAGGGTTCACATGGAAGTCTTCAGGCTCAGTTTCAGCAGAAATTTTGATGTGGTGGAAACGACCCGCCGAACCTTCCAGGTCGGCTCTACCTACAGTAGGCTGCACCTGCCCGCGTTGGACACCTTAGGTACAGTACAGTACCTGGCGGGGTAGCCGTTTGCCCTATTATGGTGGACTTCTTGGTGCTGTGCCACTCAGTCTTCCTACCAACAGCACTTATACAGTGCATTCCCCCGCCACCATGGCACCCTGCCAGCCAGCCTGCTTGCCCCATTCCCATAAACTACAGCGCCAATTGAATCCATCATGAACCGATCCTTCGGCCGGCTCAATCAGTCTCAGGTCCGTTCTTACGTGCGGGCCTTGACCGAGACATCCAGGTCATGCACCTCTCTGGTCGCAATTCAGATTAAACAACGACACAATTCCGGGTCAAGAAAGTACTCCTCTTCATCCAACAGAGAGAATGCATCGAAGCCGACACCAACATCTTCACCTGGTTCTAAGCCGGCGGCCAAAACCCCCCTTCAACTCCTCGCAGCACGCATCGCAGCCCACGCCGATGCCCTCGCAGCTGCTGCCTCAGAACGATCCCACCCGGCCCGCTCACTGAGCGCCAAACCCGCAACCCCGGCCAGTCTCCTCCCAGCCAACGCGCCCATCTCCGCGCGCTCCGAGCAGTTGGCTCTGCGCGACGCGCTCGCAGAAGCCACGCTTCTGGCGACAGACGCCTCCGAGTTTGTGCCCGAGCTCGCAGTGCGCAACAACCAGTTCGCCAGCGTGCGATGGCTCTGCCATTTCGACATTCCCTCCCTCCTCCCCCTCGAGGACTCGGAACATGAAGCAGCCGCCAATGATGAACCCTCTATTTTCCCCTCCCTCCCCTACTCAAAAGTCTCCTCCCTCGCCCGCGTCCCGGAGCACCAGCTGCGCAGCATCGCGCGCATGGCCATGCTCGCCGGGTTCCTGTCCGAGCCCGCCCCCAACAGACTCTCCCACTCGCCGTTGTCAGCTGCGATGGTCCGCCAGCCGGAACTGCTGGAATGGGCGCGCTTCACGACGGGTACGTCCGCGCCCATGGTGGGTGCCATGGTGGAAGCTACCGAGCGGTGGGGGGACGACAGGAGCATCCACCGCACGGCCTACAATGCCGCGTGGAAGACGGATCTGCCGCTGTTTGCGCATGTGGCTGCGAACCCGGAACTTCAGGAACGGTATGCAAGGTATATGCGGGTTATGACGCGGAGTCGGGGTATGGCGTTGGGGCATCTGCTGCAGGGGTGGAGGGAGGGGTGGGAATCGCTGGCGCGTCGGGGAGGGGTGTTGGTGGATGTCGGTGGGAGCGCAGGGCATGCTAGTGCTGCCCTGGCGAGGGAGTTTCCGGGTATCAGGGCGGTGGTGCAGGACCGGGAGGAGGTGGTTGCGCGGGCAAAGAGGGATGATGCGCCTAGGTTGGAAGGGGAGGGGTTGAAGGTCGTGTTTCAGGCGCATGATTTCTTTGAGGCGCAGCCGGAGAGACCAAGGGGATTCGAGGATGAGGGGAAGGGGGATGTGTACTTTCTCCGCCAGATCTTGCATGACTGGGGTGATGACAAGTGTATCACCATCCTGAGGCACTTGGCCGCGGCGCTGGAGCGGGCCGGGCCTGACGCGAGGTTGGTTGTCATGGACACGGTCTTGCCGTCTCCTGGAGAAGGGTCGCGAACTGTGGAGGCTCTGCTCCGGGTGCGTGATCTTACTATGCAGCAGGCTCATAACGCTCATGAGCGGTCTAGGGAGGAGTGGGAGGAGCTGCTGGCGAAGGCGCACAGGGGGTTGGTGATTAAGAAGATCGTGCAGCCCTTTGACAGCCTCATGGCTGTGATCGAGATTACACTTGAGGCAAGGTAGTATGGCGATTGTTTGTTTCCAGGTTTCAGCAAGTTCAATGTTCCATGTTTTGTCGAGTCAGGGGGCATGAGGTGCCGAGGGTGCTTGGTCTTCCCCGCAATCGCCGTCTGTGACGGGAACGTACGTACATACATCGCAGAACCACTGTGATATGCAATTCCTTCTCTGTGAAAAGGATGTCAGAATCGCAAGGTTGCCGACCTTGCGATCCAGGTGGTTCATATGCTGCACTTTACGACAGTGCCCACGCAGGGTGGCCAGTCCTGTCTGCCGTGACACCATCTCTGACTTGTAAGGCAAAAGCATTCGTGCATACCTTACCCAATGACCCGTTTCTCGGGAGCACCTAAGAAGTAACTCAACAGGACACTAGCGCGATATCCACACACTTACATCAGACTGCTGAGGTTTCCCCGGTTGGGTGGTGCCAGTATCTGTGCGAAAGAAGCCTAGGTATGTAAGGCAACAGTGACACCCCAACCTAAAAGACGCCGTCTCCATAAGGTGTATCTGAGAAAAGCAGGAAGGTACCGAGGCACGCTAGCGGCTCAATATTTCCCGATTCGGTGATAGATTTGCGGCTGCGGGTCGCTGAAAAAAATCCTGCATGCAATTCGCTGCTTGGCAAGCCCAATCGTCAATGGCTTGCTTCAAGTTGCTTTTCTTCGTCTTCGCTGTACGGTAACCCGTGGAAGGTCTGAAGAACCTGGAAGTGAGCACGGTCCGAGGGCTTGCTGCTGATTATTCTAGCTTCAACGGTCCAACACAACAGTACAATTGTACAATGATGCACTAGCTCTGCGATGAGACGCGCGCCGTGTCTCTTATCTGAGAGAAAATAACGATGGACTGGTCTCACAGCAGTAGCAGCAGCCCCACGTCGGTCCTTATCGCACGGCAGCTCGATCAGGCATTTGTAAGTTGACATGTTCAAGTTGACTGCTACTGAGACCCCCAGCAGTACCAGCAGTGGTATTCGACTCAATTCATATGGATGGCGGGAGCACTGGCTCACTTCGAGACAGAACCAGAGCAACGATGGTCGAATCGCGTCTGGGCGGGACAACAGCACCGGCGGCACCCTCAGCCATTTCGGCGAGAACTCATCCTCGCTATCATCTCTCGGCTGGACCTTCTTGCCAGTTCTCATCTACGCCGCCATATGCTTCGCTATTTTCTTCACCTTCCGCCGGAAATACCCCAGGGTGTACGCCCCGCGGACCCTCCCATCGCTCAGGAAGCCAGAGTGAGTGGCCATGTATAAGCCCGTGGCATACACACCGTCCTCAACTGATGAACGCCTCTTTGACCTACAGACACCCAAGCCCCAAGCTTCCTGGAGGGTGGTTTGACTGGATCAAGCCTTTCTTCGCCATTGACGATACCTACATCCTGAACAACTGCTCCCTAGATTCCTTCCTTTTCCTCCGCTTTCTCAGGGTGCTGTCCATCATATGCCTCGCGGGATGCTGTTTCTCCTGGCCGATTTTACTTCCCGTTCACGGCACCGGTGGGGCAGGACTGAAAGAGCTTGACTTGCTGACACTCGGGAATATCACGAGCCCTGACAGCTTCTATGCCCATGTTGTCGTGGCATGGTGTTTCTTCGGTTAGTCCCTCATCCGTTTACAGATGTAGCCAACCCTGACGCGCCGTTGCTAATGTTGTGCAGGCTTCGTGCTTTTCATGGTGTGCAGGGAATGCATCTATTACATCAATCTTCGCCAGGCTTATCTCCTCTCTCCAAACCACGCCAAGCGACTGTCATCCAGAACTGTTCTGTTCACTTGCATCCCACAACCCTACGTAGACGAAGCTAAACTGCGCAAGCTATTTGGCGATTCGGTGAAGCATGTGTGGATTCCCAGAGACCTGAGCGACTTGCGTGCCCTGGTTGAGGACAGGGAAGAAACCGCGGATCGGCTCCAGCGAGCCGAGACACGACTGATCAGGATGGCCAATAAAGCTCGAAACAAGTACCTGAAGAAGCATCCGACTGCGTCAAGTAGTCTACCCCCTGAACCCCAAACGACGACAACAACAACACAAAAAGACGCGGAAAAGGGGCAAGCCGTTAGTACAATCAAGATTGCCGAGCGTCAGCTTTCGGGACTCGATTCCCCGAGCTCGGAGGAGGCCCCGGACCCAGAGTACACGCACCCTTACAGCCTGGATCCATCTCTGCCAGACGTTAGAGGCTCTGTAGCTGCCCTCTGGATTCCTGCAGATTCGCGGCCCTATCACCGTCCACTCAGCAACTTTGGCCGTCGTGTGGACACAATTAGATGGACGAGACTCAGACTGAAGGTTCTCAACCGCGAAATCTGGAAACTCCGGCGAAAGTACCGTGGAGGAGACGGGTCCCCGCTCAACGCCGCCTTCATAGAATTCGACTCGCAAGCGAGTGCGCAGGCTGCTTTTCAGATCCTTGCTCACCACCAGCCGCTGCACATGTCGCCGCGCTACATTGGTCTCCGGCCCGACGAGATCATCTGGAGCGCGCTGCGGATTCGCTGGTGGGAGCACATCATGCGCCGCTTCTTCATGATGGGCGTTATCGCTGCCGCCATCATCTTCTGGTCCTTCCCGGCCGCTTTTGTTGGGACAATCTCAAACATCGAGTATCTGAGCACCGAGATATTTTTTCTTACTTGGATTGCCAAACTCCCGGATCAGATATTGGGTATCATACAAGGTCTACTGCCGGCCCTTGCTTTGTCCTGGCTGATGGCTGCCGTCCCTTGGATGCTCAGGGGTAAGATTGTCAGAACAGCCTCACTAATATACTCAACGTGCTGACCATTCCAGGCTGTGCAAGGGTTGCCGGCGTGCCTTCGCATGCAATGGTGGAGTTGTATGTGCAACATGGATATTTTGCGTTCCAGGTTGTGCAGGTCTTTCTTATTACCACCATTACTTCAGCCGCGTCTTCCGCCTTAGGAGGCATCCTCCAGGACCCGTTGTCGGTGAAAGATTTGCTATCCAAGAACCTACCCAAGGCATCCAACTTCTACCTCTCATACATCCTTGTTCAGTGTTTAGGTGCAGGCGCCGGGCGACTCGCCAACTTTGGTGATCTTATTCGACATGAGCTCATAGCCAAGTTTACGCCCAACCCTCGAAGGCGGTTCTACCGCTGGCGCAGACTGAGCAAGGTTCACTGGGGCAGCGAGTACCCACGGTTTACCAACATGGGCGTTATTGGTAAGTTGGGCTATTTAGTACCTACTTTAGACGGTAGTGGAGTGGTACCGTTTGAGGACAACAAACTAACTCGGCATTCACAGCTCTCAGTTATTCTTGTATAGCCCCCTTGATCCTCGTTTTTGCGGGGGTCGGGATGTTTTTCATCAGTTATGTCTATCGATACTGTCTAATCTATGTACTCGACTCGAGCCTTGATACCAAGGGTCTGTTCTATCCCCGCGCACTTATGCAGCTCATGGTAGGGCTCTACATAGCCGAGATCTGTCTGATCGGGCTTTTTGCCCTGAAATCAGCGATCGGGCCTCTGCTTCTCATAGCTATTTTCTTCATCTTCAGCGTGCTAGTGCACATCTCGCTCAACGAGGCTGTCACACCCTTACTCTACAACCTGCCTCGAACCCTTGCCCTCGAGAAGGATATTGGTCTAGCCACAGACGACGACACTTCAAGTGACGGAGGCAACAGTACAGAACCGCAAACCACTGGTGGCCTCGCAGCCGACTACTACAACACAGATGAAGATTTTGGCGAGGATACCGTGGACGTACTAGAGTCGTCCCATGACCTCGACGACGACGTCCAGCTGCGCGGCATCGAGGGCGGCAGCAGCTTGAAGAACGCCATTGCCGAGTGGACCAAGTCGGCCCTGAAGCAAAGCCTCAAGCCGAGCAGCACTGCGGAACCGTCGACTTTGACCAAGGTCCTGACGCAGATCAAGACGTGGCTCACCCCGGACCCAACCCGCAAACCTAACCCCATCCTGGCATTCCTACATCCAGAAATCTACCAGGACTTTAGGACGCTGCAGCCCAAGGTCAATCCCGGGCCGGACGACGTAGACCTACCCCCAGACTATGCCAAGCGCGCCTATTGGCCGCCTGAGATGTGGCAGCCCGCGCCGAAGCTCTGGATTCCAAAGGACGAGGCCAGGGTCAGTCGACAGGAGGTGGCGCATACAAAGGCGTCGGTGTTTATTTCGGATCGGGGCTGTTGGTTGACAGAGAAGGGGAGGCTGGTTTGTGACTTTGAGGAGTCCCCGTTGCATGAACCGGAGATTATGTACTAGGAAGTTTACTACTAGAAGTAATGGATAATATGTAATGGTATATCTAGTAGCTATAGCTAGGCCATACACGGAGGTTATGGCCTATACCCGGGATGGCGATCCAATCTCCAGTTGATGATCTACTGGGTGTGCTCTCGTCCCGACATATCTAGGGCTGAACTCTAGATACTACCCATTGTCTGTGTACCTTACTCAGCTTGAGATCTCTTCAATGACATGGCCTGTTGAACATCTGTTGTCATCGCCTTACACGTACTGCCACTTTGACGTCTCTCGTCCTCTCTCTGAATAATATCACTACTCCTACATCATCGAGCACACCCTCCCATCCCTATGGAACTGTGTGTGGTGTTCAGAATCTAAAAACCTAGCATGTCATCTCAATTTGAACAGATGTCTGTTGTTTCACCTATGATGTCAACTAGCAGTCCTTCTCTGAACAGTTATATCTGAACAGTTGTGGTTGTCATCCATCGACGATAGCTTTGATGATAGTGGCATCATTTGGTATATGGTGGAGGGTTGAGGAATGACGTACGATCCGCGCGTGTGTAATGTACACCGGCCATAGCCCGTGAGCTGAGGTTCTACGACGGATGCCACTTCTTCAGAGGGTGGCGGTGGCTACTCATACCATTGCTTGGTTACGAAGTTGTGCTCGATTTGCGTTGAAAGCCTGTGGTTGTGCTTCACGTCGAACGTTCTCGGTCTGATCGCCATGAAGCTTCTTCAGGGGTTGCCCCATACAGTCTTCGAGTTGCTAAGATACGAGGCAGAATACAGTTATACTGGTTGACGGTGGCGAAGCCAAAGATGCCGAAGACAAGCCCCTAGATCTGGCCCATTCCAACGTTGCAACCGTTATCTGATCTTCAACAGACGTATGTAATCAGAAGGGTGGCGGCTCGAGGAACTGAGCAGTATCGGGAAATCACACAGGTTGTGGCAAAGTTATGCTGCTGTATAACCCAACTAAGGTCCCAGTTGGGAGAACTGCATATCTCAGACCGATTACCTCTACAGTGTCCGGTGGACGATGGCTCTGACGATTGACCTGGGATATCTGCCTTCGCCAGTACCGGTACGGTTGCGCCAACCCTCCAACCTACATGTTAGTCCAGGTCCCTACCCGCATAACGCTCTCCCCAGCGAGTTTCAAGCCGAAGGGTCGGAGTGGCCCACCAGCAAGTGATGTCGAGCTCATACGGCCCGTCACGCAAGTATCAGCCCGATGCACTCCCCACCATATCGAGGTTGGGTCGACGGTGGGCCAGAACATTCGCGCGGCGAGCTTGTTACACCTCGCTGTAAGCTATGTGGCTGTTAAGGGGGCATCTGAATATCTTCAGGACCCTCCATTGCCTAGTCTTTCATTAGTATGTCCCCTCCGCCTCTAATGGGTGGCCAATCACGATCAACATACATAAGCCATGGAGGTATCGGAGAGCATCTCGGTCTATGCACTCTTATGCGTTGACATCCAAGATGGGGATAGGCGGGCTCCAGTCGGTCAAAGGGGCAACACCAACATTACTACAGCACAGTCACCAACATGGAAGGTGACCACGGAGAGGGGCCACAACATGTTTACGATCCCAACCCATCAGGATTTGGACGAGAAGACCAAATTTCGGGGGAAGAAGCCGACACATCCCGGTGGTCTGGGTCAGGGGTGCTCAAGACCTCCCGAGCCCCCGAGCCCATCGTCGTCCTGGTGTAAGGACCCTTGGACCCTGAGACCGGATTGCCGCAGTGGAACATGCAAGCTTTGCCCATCTATCGGCTACCTATTCATGGTTTCTCGGAGACATCGGTTACAGACATCAACACGATAGTGGTGGATAACGGTCTCCGGATATTCACGGCCCCCCTGAAGTTGCCGACCCGATCGGGGTAGTTGCCTATATTAAATGAATTATGAAAGCGGCCTCGCATCGTCGGATGTGCCGCGCGCCTGGAGACCGGATGGACTACTCGCTAGCCGTTGAGGACAGTATGAAAATATACCTATGCGGGCCTATGGTGGTGTGTGAATACTACGCCTCAAGACAGTTGAACTTGAAAGGTCGCTAATAGTACTCTTTATGAGATCTGATACGACCAGTCGATAGTCGAGCGGAGGGGAAGCTCTGCATTACACAATATGCTCCGATCGAGGCGTGATTGGACACGGGTTTATCGCCGCAATGGAGGTGGGGTGTGAGGCAGCTCTGGGTGAGGGTGTGTCTACCACACGTGGAGCGTTATCCGCATCCCCAGTGGTTACTAACTTTGAACAGTCTCACAGAGCATCGGCTGTTGGAGGATCGGCTGGGAGGGGGAACCCTTCCAGCTACCCTGAATACCTACCTACACAGATACCGGTACCCCTATAATCGCGTTCGAGACATGTCGGCTTCGTCGTTAGACGACTGCCACCGCTAAGCCAGCAATGTAGAGCTTGAACATCAACTGGGGACACCTTCAACACCATCACGAACCACCTCATATACCAAGGCAGATAGAGGCGCTTGTACCTATCTTCCGGCAGGCAGAACCAAGTTGGTGGACGAACTCAGGCTTGCTTCAGTCTTCGGAGGACAGCATGGCCTCACGCTCAGGGATTTGCTGCACCTCACCGGCTGCAAGAGGCAATGCATGGCAGTACGCCCATCATGCCCGCGGCGGCCCATCGGTGAAATCACACACAACGTAGACCCGTACATAATGATACGAGCATGCACCGTATTGGACTGGACGGTATGGGGCAAACAAGACTCTATTGTATGGAGTGTTAGTAGCCGCAGATGGGCAGTTGAGTGGTACGGAACGTGAATGGAGGATAATAATCAGGACGAACGACCAAGATACAGTAAAGGTAGCAATAAATAAATAAAATGCCCTGCAGCCCCCCCTCGATGGTGTGCATATGTATATGTGTGGAATGTGCGTCTCGCCGACGAATCTCGATCATTGGCCCGACCACTTCGCAAGCACAGGCGCCAAACAGCGTTGCAAAGCCAGACGAACGTGCAATTTGAAGCTCTGCTGTTGCAACCGACTGCACTCACTGCTGCATGGACGCCTGCAGGCCTGAGGCCGTTGCGTGTTGCTGCACGTCTGCAGTGCGGTTAGCCTGCGTCTTTCGTCGTCTCATGTGGGTATCGAAAATGTGCGTCTTCCGGCTGGCAAAAGACGATGCATTAGGTTGGTTTAGTTGGGCGTGCAGGAATCTCAATCAGGTAAGGGGGAAGTAGGGAGGAGGTTATCGGGTCCGTTGCAAGCAAAGGTTGCACTTGCCCTCTGCGTAATTTGGATCGCTGCTACAATGATTGCTCAGCCATCAGCCCAGTTGCAAAACTATTACTTCACAAGTTATCATGTTCGTTCAAGTCGACAAGTGATTTGCCCCGTTCCTGAAGATCTTGTAATCTGAAGCGGCCATCACCCGCCCGTTCCGTCTCGGCCGGACGAGTCGGAACGGTACTTGCGGACGGGCCGGCCGCGGTCGGACAATCCAACGCCGTTCAACCAGGCAACGCATATCCTGTGGTACTGGACAATGGACATACTGGCCAGACACGGTCTGATTGGCGAGACTCATGTCGTGCAAGTTTGACGAATCGTAAGCAACAATCCGACATCCGATCGATCGGCCAGAAACTGATAAGCACTTGCTTGCAGTATATTTATTTTTCCAACCCAGAGCCCCTCACCTGAAGGCCCGGGGGTGTGCAAGGTGCGGGTCGAGGCCCTCGGCGCGCCGCCGAGATGCATACCTCTATTGTACACTTACAGTATCAGATCATGCCAATATCGTCCCTAACATGCAAAAGTACAAAAGCGTAAAAATTGGATAACGTTAACCACTGGGCAATGCTGCACCTCCTGAGACGAGATCCGGTTGTTCGGCACAGACCCAAGCTTCGCCAAAGCCTATACCGTAGTTGGCAGTGCATCGCGGTCGACATGCTGGGATCGCAGATTGCGGCCTGCATACAGTAGTAATGATTACTTTACAATTCACTTCGTGCTGATGCTGTTAGCAATTCTTGTTGGGATCTATTAGCTACAGGTAGTCTTCACGGTTCAAGACAGACGCTATCTCGTATTGACTAATTCCATTGGCACTATCGCCACCATGGAGCGAGCGTGTATTGGGTCTCCTTGCCTAAACCACTACCGGGAACCCAAGCCATCAAATAATAATAATAATAAAAATAAAAAAAATCCTTCAGCGCCAACCCTTCCTGGCGTTGGTGGCGGCGGTTTTTGAAGATTTTGAGCTCTGGTCGTGCATGAACAGCTTCAAGGGCGTGGGCTTTGCGCTAAGCATCAACCGTTGGCTCAGCTGCGAGATTTGTCGTTGCGACAGAGCTGATTCACAAATGTACACAGTAATGCTTGAACCCACTTTGGCTTCTCGGTCTGGTCCATCGCTGTATGTACTGTATGTCGCAGCTGTGGGCGTCCCATTGAGGAGGGGGCGGGGTGGTTTAAAAGGGGTTGAGACCCATTGGAGCCTCTGCTCTAAGCCTAGCTACACTACGTTAGTTGCATCAGTTAATGCCGTGACAAGCTCCGCTATGAAGGTAACATCCAAGATGATTCGTGCGCTGGAGGAGGCTACACAGCACGAGCGAGACAAGAATGCTGCAGATCCCGGTGAACTCGGTACAGCAACGAAATGGCTGGCTCACCTCATCAGATGAGCCTCTCATGCCACAGGAGGGGCCATAGTTAACGCGTCAGTCGATGGACTAAGGGTCTGGAAGCGTGTTGGAAACCCGATGTTCCATGTCCTTCTCCTACCTCCTATGCAACTGTTAACATCGCAAAGCACCAAGACCTAATTTCGAGCTCTTGAGTTACCTATGTATCATCTTAGCCGCTCAGTGCACGTACGACGTCGGGTGCGACGGAAGGCAGTCATTGCTCAGAGCACACTGGGCGTCGCCATAGGATGGCTGATGCCAATTCTTCGACACACAAAAGAGGATGACTGCATCTTCGCTATCAGCTGTGCGACGTGCCTCAGCAGAAACCACATTGCGGGGTGTCGTTTCTGCTTTGATAACAACACCAACTCTTCACTGCTGTATGCACAAGCCCTTCACTGGTGTCTGCAGACACAGCAGCCATGGCGATACGCCTCGACGATCTGAGGGGTGGGGTGGCTGATGGCTAAAACAAAACAAAATGAAGCTAGAGCAAAGGCAAGAATGTAGGCAAGGATAAATTTAGCAAGACGAAAGCAAGGCATGAAGTCTGTATGTTAACCGCAAATCATTCACTCAGATGAGAGCAATGTTAGAGATTGCGCTCAGTCATTCAGTGCCTTCTCGACATGGAGATCAGAAATTCCCCGCTTGTTTGGAGCGATCGAAGTTTGCAGGGCTGAACGCTGATCTGTGCCCAGCATTGTGGTTTGATCACTGCGCTGAGGTAAAGCACTGGCCACCCTCGCCGGACCCCCGCCGTTGTGGGTCCATCTCAACTGTATTTGGGCTTCAGGCTCCTTCCTCACCATGCTCCGGGTATCGACATGCGGGAATGGACGTATAACGGCCCGGCAACTAGCCGCCCCCGTCGAACCAAGGACAAAAGGGACTGCGCGGGTGCGGTTTGATGGAGTCGCCTGGCTAGTGTAGAGCCAAGGGAAGAACGCATGTCAGTGGAACAATCTTGGCCTTTGGGAGAACTCGAAGGATGACTCGGAAGAGGATTGAGCAGAAATTACACCGCTACTCTGGCCAAACTCAGGTTTTTTTCGCCGCCTGGGAAGCTAACCCAAGCCAATCTCACCACTGGCCGGTGCAATTGGCTGCCTTCGTATCATGCATATGAGGGGCTTATGAAGCCTTGGATTGCGATAAATTGTCATGCATGTAGAAAAGGCGCTAGGAAGGGGGCGGAAAAAAATTGTTCTCGTTCTCCCATACAGAGGTATACAATGACAGACTCGGTATGAAGTCGGTGAGGGATTGAGGAAGTGTGGCACTTGGACGCAGAATCGATTCGACAATCGTGCACCCTGGTGTCTCCCAGTAAGGATGCGAGATCGGTGCCAGATCACCTGCCCTTGAAGACATGCGAGTGAATGGCGTGGCATGGAACATGATTTCTGGCCAGTCGTTGTGTCTCTACGCACCGGTCAGTACCAAGCCGTAGCGTGAATTACAGAGTCGTTGGACAGAAAGCATGCCGTGGACACAGAAAACTGTTGTATCAGTATGTGATGTGATGTCGCGCGAGTCTGGTCGACTCTGGTTTACAGTGTACCGCACTCCGTACCGTTTAGCTGTGTCTCGACTCGAGGTAACAAGTGAACCTCCCGAGAGTGTAAACTAAGATTGGCGATGGTCATGAGCGGGAGATCGACAAGCCGAACAGGCACTGCAGCTTGAGTTGGATCGCGGAGCAAGCGACTTGGACACTATAGCTAACAAAGTCTCTATGGGCAGGGCCAATGGGTAACAGTGGGAGACTTCCAAGGGACGAAGTGCGTTACCACCAGTTTGCGGGATCGCCGTGAGCGTTGCTTCGAGACCACTAACTTGGCCCCTTGACAACGGAGATCCAGCCGGGTACAATACAGTAAATTCCTGAGCTGTTTGACTGCTTGACCGCGTGACTCGGGTGATCTTTATCTCCCTTCAAGATGTTGTCAGTAAATTCCACCTAGGCAACGAGCCAACACCGACACGTCGAGTTCCCCAATTGTTAGCCAGAACGCAGGAATGTGCTGACCGAAAAGACGTCATCAAGAAGAGGAGGTGGTTAAGCGGGGTAGAGCACTGGCCTCGCCCTGAAGATCAACCTAAGCCCGATTGGGCGAGGGTCTCATCACTCCCAGAATGATGGGTTTCCTAAATTCTTGGCGCGCAGGCTTGGAGCTTGGACTCATCAGCACTCAAGCCTCTCATCAGCTCGATTTGGATGGCCTCAAAACTCCAGATAAACCAGCACCGAGTCGGCCTCAAAAACCCTGCTGCATCCAGCAGTACCAAGGATGCAGAACTGTGCCGGCAAGGGAGGTTCCTTCCGCAGTCTCATCTGCCATATACCAGCACATCGACTGATTAGACGCGAGCTCAATGAGCCTACAATATCCGTACTCCGTTACTTAATGGCCTGAGATTTTTCCCTAATGCGGGAAAAGGAAGCCTGGCCTGATGCTGCCGTCTTCTCGGTCAGCTGCGGGCATCCAGCAAGGTAACAACGACCAAAAGAAGACAGGATTCCGCCCTGGTCGCTCAACAAAGAGCCCGACAGGTTCTGCCATGATGGCTGCCCTTATACGCGTGTCCCGGCCAAGGCTCGAGATGTCATATCGGCTTGGGGAAGGTAGCTGTGTGGTTCTGCATCCGTGCAGTCTCCCAGGAAGAAAGCCGCCGCAGGCCTACACTAGGACACTGCGATGTCAGTAATATTGCTGCATTTCAGGGGTCATCTTTGGGCGGATGCTTCGTCGTTTGTTGAAGAAAACTTGGAATGCCCCTTGCAACCAAGCCCTCGAAACCCTCCGCTCGGAGCGGAGCGCTGCGGTGGACGGGGAGTCGGAGGAGACTTGGATGCACCTGCACCGATCTTTGCCTATCAAGGAAGGCTTCTGAGCGGGGTCTCGCCGTCCCACCACCACCACCAAGGCACGACAAAACCATGGCCGGCAAAAGCTCCTGTATACGGATAGCTAAGCGCACTATTATATGGAAAGAAGCGGCAGAGCACTGCATTTTGACGGAGATTACGGTTGTATTGCTCACAGATGCAGCTCTGACCGGGACGTGGTTTCACCATCCCGCCCTTTGATCGATATCGCGAAATCCCACCATGCTTTGCTCCAAATCCCATACCATGGCGCCCACACCGGCAAGGTCGAAGCTCGTCAAAAGCTGGACAGGATGGAGCATCGCGAATTGGAAGAAGCCCCAGGCTGAAAACCCTGACCCTGAACGCTCGACCTCCCCGCCCTGCAGCTGTTCTTGGTCCTTTGTCCGTGACCCTGATTGTCGCACCCAGGATTCCGAACCTGGGAGTTTTGGAATTTTGGTTTTGTGGGCGACACCAGTGGATGCCCCAAACTTGTAGCTTTTCAACCACGGTTGTGTGCGGGCGCGAGGCAACTCTCAGGAGCGGACAAGCGAGTCCAGCCAGGGGAAGCAAGAGTTGAGTGGCCCCATCTGCCAATGCTACCTTTCCATGCATCCGTATGCGTGCCTGTTGTGATCCATCGGGGGCTGCGGCTCGAGGTGGATAACCCTTGGCGTCTACATCTTCCGACGAGGCAACTTCCGACGGGTCAGCAATTCTTGTTGTGGAGCAGGGCCTGAGATATCCATCCATCGCTACCATCCGACAAAACTCAGTGGCTAGCAAAAAGCTGCGTTGCGGCGATGGAGGTAGCCAATAGCAGAGAACTCGCCCAGTCTCTCGGGGTCCGGTAAGCTGATGGGTGGTAGGCCTAGGATCGAAAACTGTTGAACTTCTGATGTCGGCGGATTTTAAAGGTAGGCGTTATTGTGGCACACTTTTCTGATTCCATACCCTGCGCTCTCCAGACGTGCTCCGGGATTCCAGGCGAGGGTATCCGTACTTCGTACATATCGTCAGTAGATGGAATCGATCTCACGGTTGTATACCTGATTAGTCTACATACGGCTGCAGAATGCCTCTTGACAAGATGGACATCCGTCGCCGCACTTCGAGTGTGTGGTGTCTTAAAAATGCGGTCGGCACTCTCGCGAGCCGCGCGCGGATCGCAAAACACTGTGTGGCGCTCGGTGAATTGATACTGTTTTGGGTCGCGCTGTCGCAACAGTTGAAAGCCGTTGACAAGCAGATGCCGCACGTGTGGGCAAAGCATGCTCATTGGTCAATTGCATTGATAAGCTGTCAGATTGTGGAACCACAAATCTCTGCACCGGCGGCAGGCAATCTCTTTGCCCAATAACGCAAGACATTGAAAATTTGCTTTGGGAGCACTGATCAAAGTCAATCAGTCGTTGCTATCGGGAACTTATCTTTGGAGTCACACCTCAGACGTTACAGAGCAGGTCAGCAATCATCACATAACGGCAGGTGCAAATATGTTCGGATGGATGACTGTACAGTACATACGATCTATAGAGCAGGGACCGCAGAGGGAAGCTTGCTTCAAGTCACGATTCCACCCGCACACTCTGATGGTTTCAATTTTCAATGTTTCAACGCGGGCTGTACAGTACGGAGGAGTGGGCTGGGTCTGTGTGGGGGTTTGGTGAGTCTGTGGGGGATCGCCACACCTTAGGGTTCGACAATGACAACGGTCCAACAAAATTTTTCGCTGTGTAGCAAGCCTCATCATCGTGTACCAAAGCTGCGGCTGATGGCTTACAGTTTGTCGGACTTCCCAACAAGTTTATTAGTACTCGTATTTGACGCACAGAGCGAAGATCGGACCCTACATCATGTACCGTCGTCGTACGTTGGCCATCCGCCGCTAACCGTCAAGGTTCGTACTCCGTAATAAGGCACCTCGAGGGCGCCGAGCGGGGCGATGGAATCTGTAAAAATGGCAAGCGATCTTTGTCTATTCAAGGCTCGAACAATGATAGCGTAATGCGACCGTAAGGATCAATCTGGGAAGTTGGATCAATAAAAGTCGGTTTGCATTGGCGTCATGAATCAGGCCTAATTATCCGTACAGCGTAGGTAATCACGGAATACCAGACATCGCCGTGTCCGTGCATTTTGGACATCCGGTTCCGGTGCGCCCCCGGACAGCCCGGCGCGGGCCTACCTTAGTAAGCCCGTTTGAGGGTTCCATTACCTTGACATCCTGAGCCGTCAGGGAGGCACGGCCGGCGAGTTGGAGCTGGATCTAGGTACGGCTAGAGCCGCCTCGAACTCAGATATACATAAGACTATTTTCGTCCGAATATCGCAGCCGGCGCCGGACCGGAGTGTTTAAGGTATGTATCAAGCCCAAAAGATACGGTTTGTGTCTGACAAGTGAGGCCATCACTATCTGTATCACAGAGCCCCGCGGAAATGATGATTCTCCACCACGCACAGATTGGGACAAGCACACCATGAGCCCCAAGCAGCTTCCCTGCGTCTTCCTGAGGGCTTGGCTAATGGTTTGTTTGGTGAGACGTTAGTGCGCGCCAGGGGGCTGGGTTTGCCCCAAGCACGACAGCGGCCTTGATTGCACCAAGCGCTAAGTTAGCTCTAGCGGCAGTGGTGGAGACCAGTAAAGAGCAAGCCGTTGACAGTCGACGAGAACAAATCAGGGCGTATCCATGAGTGCTGAAAGGAGACGATCAGATATGGTAGCACTACTACCTCCGTAGCCTCGTACATACTTAATTAATGTTACGACGCGAGTCGCGACTACACAGTGAAGTACTGTAATGCTTGGTTTCCAGGCGTGCGAGTTGAGAAAGGGGCCAGTGCGAGTTTCGACACGAAGGGCCTCCCCATGTGTATGTACGGACTGAGAATCTTTTCCCAATCATTGGCCTAGCCGCAGCAGGACATGAGGCTGGCCAGTGAGAATGGACATCGCAGAGAGCTAAGTTACCTCCGTAGTCGAACGCTTGAACGGTCGGACGGCGGCGTAGTCATCAAAAGCGGTTGTCGGTGTGGGGTGGGGGTTCCGCTTGGATCGTCTAAAGTCCTGGCCAGACCTTTGCAACAGTACTCGGACCTTTGCCTGGCTGACCTGAACTGTTGAACAGTTACTAACATATTGGCCAACCTATTTTAGCACTGTTAGGCTCAGAGAAGAAGCAGAACCAGAGGAACACAATTGTTCAGGGGTTCCACTGCGTCGCTGCGTCAAGAGAACTAAACCTCAATGTCGCGCCTGAGTCGAGATGATGAGAGAAGTACGGATATCGAGATCCGTTATTCAGCAGGCCATATAAGACAAAGTTGACGGCTGCCCTGTCGCGGACTCAAGTTTTGCTCACCCAGACATGTAATGTGCAGGGGGAGGCACATTTAGGGCAGCGATTGGTTTGGTCGGTGCTGACTGGTCGATTGGCCCCTGGCAACCTCAAGGTCCGCTAAAAATATTTTGCGGGTGCTGGGCACTTTGCTGTGTTTTGTAATACCTTAATGACCTTGGGCTGGTTTCGACTTTCGACGTACACAAGGTAATCAGAGAAACGAAGCGCAATCCATCATTTAGTATGGAGAGCTGTAACTACATCGTTGGTTGTTACTGTAATTCAAACTATAGCTGGATCTTGGTCTACAGTTTGCCAGAGCTTCATCAAGTGAAGTCGCCAATCGAGGCAGGGACGACGGATACCGTAAGGAATTTTGTACTGTACAATACAAGGATGGAGAACATTCATGCCAGGTCGTATTTCACCGTTCAAGCACAAGCCGTCTCTTGGACCGGGCTCCCAGTGGCTGCAGCGCCTTGTTGACGTCATTGCTGCTGCCGAGAAACCATGCCCCAGTCAGCAGGAGGAGAACCTGATGCAAGCCCCTGCAAGCCTCATCAGTTGATCGGAGCGACCTCACCTTGCTCGAGTCGCGCAGTTAGTCCTTTGTATACAATGGCAGATAGGAAAAACAATGCCACATCGTCGAGGATTCTGACGAGCGCCTCGGATCGATACGCCCAGCCAGCCCTTCGACTGTAGGGTAATCAGGTAACTACGAACTCCGTAACACATGAGCTGTTAGTCATGAATATCTTTCCACACCTATCGCAGATGTGCGGTGCATACCCGGTGTTCCCGGTGGACAAGGGCCGGAGAGCGTCCTCTGGGTGCTACACCTATATAGATAAGAGAGTAAGAGAGCCGAGTCTTGGTATGTTAATACATGAGTGGAACAAATGCTTGGCCAAAGGATTTCGAGCTTCTTCTCGTCGTTGCCGCCTGTGTGTGGCGCTGTATGGACCTTGGAAAGACCATCAGGTAGATAAACCGTTTCAGTGCGCTGAACGCCACCGCCTCGCGCCGCATCCGTCACTCGTGCTTTATGTATCACAGTTGCGCAGACTGCGTCAGGTCAATTACTCTGGCCGGCATCGGTCTCGAGGTGTCGGTCATCAAGAGATCCGGCCCGGCGCAGATTTCGAGGCTTCGGACTTTGAGCGCTCGCTCGCTCGCTCGCACGGTGTACAAAGGTCCGTGTACGATACACACAGCAGGGGGTGCCGACATCCGTACTGCAGTGGGCAGGAGGAACCGCATAGTTGGTGGTTAGCGTCTGTGGCCAGACTCCGCGCCGAGCCCCACTATTTCCGTAAAAACCAAGCGATCAGTGGGCGCCGCATCCTTGTCTTCTGCAGGCTTGGAGGAAGCGGGTCCCCCACTCGATTCACGCCATCCCTTCCTTGGTCACTTTACTTCCAACGCTTACTCCTGCACCTGTGCCTCCTTCTGCTCTTTCTTCCCTTTCTATTCTTTCCCTCACTCTTCTTAGGGACCATTTGATACGAATTGCGCATGCAATTTGTTCTCCTCACTTCTCCCAACTCCAGCGGTGCAGAGAAGAGCCTCGCAGTCCGGCTACCCGCAAGCACTTGTCCCGCCGCCACCTCTTCCGGTCCGGCAGACTTGTGTGGACTGTATATACCAACCAGGTACGAAGGAATCGCGTCACGTCTACCCTCAAGCCCGTCTCCAAAAGCACCTCCATTCCGCTTTCTTCAAGTCCAACCGTTGCCGTTCCTCTCCACTAGAAACTCCCCGGACCCAGTGTTCTTCCATTTGACAAGCTACCACGGGATCGTGGCCCCGCCCAGGCGTTTCTCGCTGATATGGGATATAGCTGGGATTGAGGGCCATTGTGGTGTTGATATCAACATCTCCCTCCGAGTGTAAGGCGCTCTCGGGGACTTCTCCTGGTGCATTCACTGCCTGTTCCTCCCATTTGCTCCGCAAGCAATCGATCGGTAAGTGGTGTTAGTCAGTACACAGAAACACTGATTAGCTTGCAATGGTTGTTGCCACACAAGCAAAGACCGCATTTGCCCTTATTTTTCTTGTTCGCTTTTTTGCCCTCCCCGCCACTCTATTCCCTAGCGGCCCATTTCTTTCTTCTTCTTCCGTGCACAAACCCACCAACCTCTAACCCAAGACCTTAGTTGTAATTGTGGGAGAGCTGACATTGTTCTTCCCCCGGCAGAGCGTTTATCGGACGACATTTTTCCCCGCCTCGGACCGATCGAGCTTCCATCCATGATTTCGTTTTGAGATACTTCTCTTCGGTATCCGACACCCCCTTGTCCTTGTCTTTTGGTGGGGTTCGTTCTGTGCAGGCAGGACAGGTTGCAGGAAGATGCCATATACGCCTCCGAACAGATCGCCCGCTCCGTCGGCTCTTCCGACGCCTGAAGGAAGTCGCCGACCTTCGTTTCATCAACCGCCCAATGTTAGCTCGAGACCTGTTCTCCCTCGATCAGCCTCTTACCTGAGCAGGCATCGGCGGACACCTTCAGCGACGGGAGCTGCGCAACTTGGCGTTAGTGAGCTGTCGCCTGAGGCGACCTCTGAAGACCTGAAAGGTATGGTGGCTGGCAATGTCAGTGTGCGACAGTCGCCGCCTCCGGTCACGGGCGATCGTGGGATGCCGAGGGGCGCAATCACGACGCCGCCCGCTAGTGACGACGACGACGACGCGATCGAGATCTCCGGTGAAACTCGCGGCAGGCAGATCGAGAACCTTAGCGAGCTGCATGACGCCGTTAGTAAAATTCCACAGCAGAGACCACGCTTCCCGAGCGTGGGAGATGCCAGCAATAAGGGGGCCACAGATGCCGGAGACCTACTCGTCCTTCCGACGCAGGCAAATACCATTACAGAAGGCCTTCACCAGAGCCTGAGCACAAGCTCGCTTGACGCTCTTGTTGCAGGGAGCCACCGGCGGATTTCCCACACTCGGTCAGCGACGCAGCCGAATATCTCCACATCACTATCATGCAGCAGCTCGGTAACCGGCTCTGAGGAGGATTCTGACGAAGAGCGGCGGTACAAGCCGCAAATGGTACGAAAAAAGTCCGGTGAGCTCGTTCGGCCCGCTCTCCGTGCCCCGTCGTCGCTTCGAAGGCGACCGTCGAGTATGCCGGGCACGCCGACGTTTGCGAAGGCGGTACACTTCGACTCCAAGATCGAGGAAGTGCGGCATTTCCTTCAGCTCGACAAGCCTCTTGCAGTCAGTGCCGGCTCCTCCCCTGTCGATAACTATGAGAGCGACACAGAGTACCCCTTCTCTGGAGATGAGAGAACGGCATTACGCCCCTTGTACGAATGGGAATTGATCATGAAGAACTTTCCCCTCGAGACGCCCGTGCGGAAGGCGCAGCCCGTGCGGTTGGAGAGGGTATGGTTGTCGACTGACCAGAAGTGCCTGATTGGGTCGGTTGCTGTAGCCAATCTTGCCTTTCAGAAACGAGTATGGTGCAGATTCACGCTCGACTATTGGAAGACAACATCCGAGGTAGCGGCCGAGTACCTCTGTGGAATCCCCGCCGCGGATACCCCTCACGGGCAAGACAGATTCAACTTTGCAATCAAACTGTCGGACCTCGTCAACCTGGAGTCCAAGACACTGTTCTTTTGCATTCGGTATGAGGTGAATGGACAGGAGTACTGGGATAACAACGGCGGGATCAATTTCCAGGTCGATTTCAAAAAGAAACCCACTGGGAACCATGGGAAGGACGGTGTTTCACCCTCGCGCCCTGGGCTGCCCAGGGCAAAGGGCAATCGGCGCCCAAGTTCGGATGATGCCTCGACGACCAAGTCCAAACCAGTGAGCACTGACGCGTTTGGCGACATACCACGGTTGGATTTCGGCCAGCCCATTCATCACTACCTGGGAGAATCGGGACAGGGTGGTCTACGACTGAAGGGCGTCAAGAGCGCTAGCAGCCTCCCAAGCGATAACCTGTCGAAACGCTTGTCTGCCCCCAGCGGGCAATTCGCCAATCGGTACGACATAAGTGCTTCTATCAGCGCCGCTATTCAGACGGCCAGATATGGCCTGTACATGAAACCGTCGAAACGATCCAGCACAATCGTCCCGGCCGGTGCCGCGTCTGCGTCTAAATCCAACCCGTCCATCGCCTCGAATGAACCCGAGCCGTCGACGAATGGAGGAGACAATGAACAGTCCGGTGTGGCGACAAAGCGTGAAGCAGTCGCAACCACAGCTGGTGCTCCCACCGCGGCGCCCGCCGCAGAATCACCCACCTCCACCCTCTCATCTGCCTCTTACGAGGAAATAGTGAGTAAATGGTGCTTTGTATGTGTCCCCCTAGCAGATTTCCTCTTACAGGAGCCACAGCCGCGAATCCAATCGTTCCAAGCGCTCGCTACCTGAGGCCAGTCCAGCATGTATCGAACTAACATTTCTCCCTACAGTTCAGCTCCAAGCCGTCGAACGTTCAGGACGTTCCCACTCAAGGACCTTCGTCTAAAGTTGGTGGGTTTGACGGCACCGACGACGGAACAAAAAGCCAGAGGAACAGCGGTACGGCAAGCTACGAAGGAAGTGCCGTCCAAATGGGCAACTATCATCACTCACACAGCGGCATTCAACACCATTCCCTCCACCCGATCGATCCCAATCCCTACTTCCAACATATACCGCTCAGGGCAATCGGCGGCTCTCCCGCGGAGTCTCCTTTCAGTCATTTCTCGTCACAGAGGACTGGAAGTCCGTTGACGGGGCTGTCTCAGTCCCCGGTCTCTGGCCAGTCCGTTGGCCACTCGCCCTCCCCGAAATCCTTTGTCGAACCGACCGGTTCGTCGCCGAAGGACTATGCATATCAGCACTTGCACGATCGTTTCCCGTTTTCTGGAACGGAGACCTATTCTGCGGCAGCGATCAGGGGTTGAAAGTGAAAAAGGAAAGCCTTGGAAGGGGGATGTGGACGCAATGACCTGCTAGGCGGAAACAGAAGCATCCTCGCGATGTCAACTGAACGGCCTCGACACGTATTGCACATCATCACTTTCCATTCGGCATTGCCCTCCAAAGGGTCAATTCTTTGGGAAGCTAATTTGCAGTTGCTAATACTCGTTTCTTCTCGGCATTAGCAAGCGCTTTTTTGCGGACCTTCGATTATAGCATCTTCCTGGCGTGCTAGTTGTTGAACGGTGGTATATCATCTTTCTGTTTTCATCACCTCTCCGTTTCCTCCATCATGGCAGTACGAGAGCAGCAGTTTCAGACGCGTTGTTCTGTGTGCTTGGCGTCTAGGTGCTTGGGAACTTACTCAGTTATCGGTTTCGTTTTCCCTTTCCTTTTGGGTTCGGCACAGGTGGTACAAGGTCGGGACATGAAAAGGAAAAGGCGTTTTTTTGGTATCCATGCTCTCTCTCCGGACTGCATTTTGGCTTTCCATCTTAATCACCACTTGCCGCTTGCACTGGGCTTGCTTTCAGCAGCACTGGTCACGGCCTCAACGTTATGGTATGGGTGCGGTTCCTCTTTAAGAACAGACGGGGAAATGTTCTTGAACAGGACATGGAGGAACAGTTTAAACAGCTCAGGCACTTGGCGTCGGTGAAGGCAACTAACGCGAAACACGACGGTCTGCAGTTGTTACTCGGGATAGGGGACACAGCATTCAGGATGCCACTTTCCAATGAGCTTAGCGTCATGCATGGCAGCTTCGTGGAAACTTGGTCTATGAAACGAGCTGCGACATAGCTACAAGCTGGGTCTTGGTCTGCCAATATGGATCCGAACGCTAGCGAAGAATGTGCTTGCCACGCAGAAGATCACTGCTCGTTCATTGTCTGGAGATCGCGAGGCGTTTGATCAGCGTTCAGCACACGGTTAGGCTTGTCAGGATAGGGTAGCAAATGATACTATTGAGAATGATTACGTTTGGCGGAATGAAGACAGTCTCGGAGTTTTAGTTGCATGAGAGCGTGTCAAAATGCAAATCTCCTGAACTTGAGAATACTTAGCGTCGTGTTTGCTCTCTTGAGCGCAATGTTGATGAGATGTAGATTGGATGATCACGGAGGGCGGGACTGGAAAGTCCACTGTTGACACCCGATATTGTGCGCCATGCAATTACATTGTAAGCAAACCTACAGGCTACGGTACTAGTAGCACCGGCGGTAGGACACAATCCTGAGCAGGAAGCCATTCTGCTGATGGTGTAACAAGAAGGAGATGGCGGCCGGAGATCGGGTTATCCAGGCAAGAAAGGAGTCCGGCTCGTCAATGTGTGCAATACTTAGGCAAGGTGGCTGTCGAAGACATCGATGCTAGACTCGTCTAATCCCCCCAGCCGCTCCCTGTTCTCAATCCCTTTATCTGTGATGTCTAGCATGCCGGAATGTTCCAAGCTGATGTGCTTGGGTGTAAGCTTCAAAAGGCCAGTATTGTATGGCCAGCAGACATTTCACCGGAAAGAACTCTGGGCCAACACGAAATACTGTAACTTGACGGGTACTTGATAATCCTCCTGGAGGACAAACTGATGTGGTAAGATCTTGATTGCTTCAAGATTGAGAGTATATTTTGTAACAAGTACACAACTCCCGTCGGATGCGTCCATATTGACAACCATCAAGTTGACGACAGCAATTTTTTTGTTGGATTCCACTGTCCACAGACCCACACCACAACTGGCAGTCCCCAGATTCCCCCGCCGTTGATCTTGTGGAGTCCGTGCACAAGATCACCGCACGGATTTCTCAAATGCCCCTGCCAACCTTGTCAGACCCAGATCCACGGTTCCATCTCAAAAAACAACAGCCGAACCAAGGATGTGGGGCTAGGCCCTCACTCCAACCTCGCACACAACCTCTCGCTCCCTTGCAGTGCCTACAGTTGTCTTTTTACTCTTTTTAATCGCCTGATCCAGCATGGCTCAAGTTAAATGTCATATATATACAAGTCAAGTGGACAACGACCTTACGCAAACTGAAATTGTCGTTTATCACTCCCCGGGTCTCCCTCGTTATCGGACCAATAGCGCCACGATAGCGTCGAGCTACAGTACTTAGTCACTTAGTGAGCTGGACGCGTCTTTGACTGGCCTTTGACACCGTGACGCACCTCATACGCACCATGCACTTGCTGCTAGTCGGTCTGGGCCACGCAGCTTGGGCCGACGTGGACAGCTGGCCGGAAAATGCCGCGGCCAACAGAAAAGGCTGACAATTCCTGGCTTGTCAAACGTCAACCAGCCAACCCTGAGAAACCCCCAGGGCTCCGCCACCACTCTCATAGTGGCAGGGTTCTTTCAGCCGCTCCCGAATGGCCAGAACAGTCTGTCCTGGCCCGAAACAGAACATTTGCGCTTGTCAGCCTCTTTGAGTCAATTGATGGGGACAAACGGGAATGGCTGAGCCAAACGCGGCTTGGGCAGCGAGAAGCCTAAGCAAGATTAAGACGGCGCTTGTGGATAGGTTATCGTTAATACCTGGGTAGCGCCACCACAACAAAAGAAGCATCAGTCTCTAGCTGTTTTGTTTTTCTCTTCCATTTCCTGGGTTTGCCTCCTCGGAGGACGATGCAAAGACACCGGCGTTGATACTGCCTTGATGGTTGCTGCAGTTCGCGCCCTCAACCTGATGATACTCTGATCGGTGAAACACATCTGGAGTGGGATCTAGCATCATGGCCGCAATCCTGTACAGGCCGGCCGTCTTGCCCGTGCAAACGCCAGCGCCGACCGTCTTCGTCCCACCGCTACGAGGATTGGCACGCCGCTTCGACAATACCACCAGTACTGCAAGCGCACCGAGTCCGACACGAGACTGTTCTGTAAGCCGTCGTGCTCCCTATCACCGCGTCAAGTTTCTGCGACAAACTAATACCTGCGCCCTGTCCGGCTAAGAATTTCAACGGATTCGATACGTGCAGCGCGAGCGGCGACTATGGCAGCTGTCTCGCCAGCAACGACGTCGCTTTCTGCAACTGCAATAATGGCATACAATACCTGGACTGCGTCTCGGCAGCCATCGACTCAGCAGGGTGCCAAGGTGCCGTGGCTGGTGTTGGCAGCGGTAAGCACTGGCATTTGAGGAAAGCTTTAGACGGGGAGTCTTCAGTCAGTGTTGGCTGACTTTGAACGTGACTATGGGAAGACTGGGGCGCCTACGAACGAAACTGGTATCAGACTGCTTGTCCCACCACTCCTCCGGCTGCAGTCATGACACAGCTTCCTCAGCCGTAAGTGTCACGAGAATTAGCAGCGGCTAGTGGTTGAGATCGTCTTTCTGACTCATCTCATCTCAGGTCCTCCGTTTCTCTTGACTTGGAGTGAGTCTCGATCGTCCTTTGACACTCCTCGTAGGGGTTAACCAAGTTCTTAACAGACCCGTCGCTGTTGTCACCCCCTCGGCCCCGATCACCGAAGCTCCTACGCCAATCGTGCAGCCCAGTTTCACCGACGGAGGGGAGCTCTTGGCCGGAGACTGCAAATCGACCTCGTACACTCTGGTGGACGGTGGGGACATGGTGTTCTACGCCGCCTTTGTTGGGTGTAACGCAGACCGGCCGCAGTGCTGTCCCTGGAATGTGTCCACCGGCGCTTCTCAGCCGGACAACTCGCCGGCTCTCGAAGTGACCGATGCCCCGCCGGGCCGTGTCGCCGAGCCCGGCCAGTTCCCAATCCCTGCGGACCACGCAAAGGCCAACCTCGAGCGATGCCCGCAAGACTACTACTCTGTGTCTGGGCAGTGCTGTCCAAAGTATGTCGATTTTTCCCAGCAAGTTCAGACTTTAGACCGTTGATATCTAACAAAGAACGACAGCGGCTACTACAAATTCACGCGGTTGGTCGCCTACCAGACACCATGCTTCAGCTCCTTCAAAGAGAGAGCAACACCGCCACAGATAACCGCAGGCCTGGCCGCAAACCCCAAGAATTCTGCCCTCCCCACCTCGGCCGTCGTCAACGTGGCGTGGGCCATGGGGTTCAACACTTCGGGAGACTCAAACCCTCCCCTGTCAACGGGCGCCTCGATCGGGATCGGAGTCGGCGCTGGCGTGCTAGCCATCTCGATCGGCGTCCTCGCCGCCTTCCTCATATTTCGCTGGCGGAGGAACAAGAAGGCAAAAGCAGCAGAAGGGGTACAGGAGCAGCAGGCCGCCACCCAGTTTGACCCCTACCAACAGGGAATGACATACCAGCCGGGATATCACGCACCACCCGGGAGCCCGCCGCCACAGACAGTCAGTATGGCGCATCCAATGAGTCCCCCTGCGGAATACAAGTACAGTCCTCCAAGTGCCTCTCCGTACGGCGGCGGTGGTGGAGGAGCGGGAGGATGGGATCAGAGTCAAGGCTATGGCTTTCCGCATCCGCAACAGTACCCGCACCAGCAGATGGGCTCATACGGGGGACAGGCTTACCGGTAGTGTCGTGGTGTCGGCTTGGTTCGGGTTATGCCTTTTTTACTGGTCTATCGGCGTTCAGGGGGCTTGGCGTCAACACAAATGACCTGATCGGAGTACTGGCGGGATAAGCTTCGCAGCCTAGTCATAGACAGCGCAGCGACGGCCATGGCGGCGTCACATACGTTTATCACACTCCTGCTAACTGTAATAATTTAGTAATCATGGTGTCGTGAGGATCAAGCCAATCCAGCAGTTTCCTCAATCGCATGGCGAAATCGTCCACAAATTGGGGCCGTTTCCCGGCAACGGCCTCGTACAACTTCCAAATTCCTACCACCATCTTTCTTGCTCTTTGGTACAGCGTGAAAAATGGTTAACTGGTCCCAGCAACATTGATGATAATCTTGCCCTTGGCCCTCTTAGTCGCTAGTTTCTCAAATGCCTGCCGAGACTCAGGTCAGCTCCTTTCCGAGTTGCACCCGCTTGCAGCCCGCATGGATGGAACTGTACCTCAATGCCTTGTTCCAAGGGGAACTCGGAATCGATAGGAACCTGTTTTATCAGTCCTTGCTTAAACCACTGCGCAGCCTTCTTCGCCGTCTCGCCCGAGGCGCTGAGGAGGAACATGTGGAAGCTCCGCGGAACCCCTCCGAGGAACACGGGCAGCAGCTTGTTCCTGGCGTAGGGTATGATCCCCTGCGACCATCCGCCCACGATGCTGATGAATTTGCCGTCCGGTTTCAGATAGCCAGGCGAGTGGGCGTACAGCGCCTGGTTACCCACACAGTCGAGGATAGCATCAAACTGCTTCTCCCCAAACTCCGCGGCCAGGTGCCTCTCCAACGGGTCATGAACCTTGTAATCAATGACCTAGACCCAACGTTCATAGGTAATCAGCTCCAACTCACTTGTCGAGAGCTCAACCCAGCCCTGGGTAGGTACCTACCTCATCAGCCCCGAGCTCCCTGACCATCTCAGCATTAGCCGCAGAACAAACCGCCACCACCTCCTTCCCCATCCCTTTCAACGCCTGCACCAGAACCGTGCCCACCCCTCCACTCGCCCCATTAACCAGCACCCTCGCAACCTTCCCATCCCCTGGTACAAACCCAGCACGCCTGATCATCTCCACCGCCGTCTGGCCGGCAATCCCCATCAGCCCGACCGCCTGCCTCGACTCAATCCCCTCAGGCACAACCGCCACCGAACCCGCATCAATAACCATGTACTCAGCCAATGAACCCCTGCCCAGCGCAACGTCCCACAACCCAGTGGCGCCGCCGACCCGGTCCCCGACCCGCAATCCCCTCAGCTCGGCAGGCAAGGGGTTGGCAGGAAGGGCGACGACCTCGCCGACAAAGTCTTGCCCGGGAACGGGTGACCGGCGGAAGGGTAGCCAGGGGGGTGCGGTGTGTAAGAGGACCAGGTCGGCTGGGTTTAGGGCTGAGTGGGTTACCCGGATCAGGACCAGTCGGGGGTTGGTGGGTGGTAAGGAAGGGACGGGGCGGGTGGGTTGGAAGGAGAGAGCTTGTCGTGGACTGCCGAGGCAGGTGGTTGTCCAGGCGCGCATTGTTGTGGGGACTGGGAGATGAGCCTGGGGGGTGATGGCTGAGTTGGAGTTTGGGGCGGGATTGTCATTGTCTTTGGTGGTTGGAGGTTGCATTTTTCTTTTCTTTTTTTTTTCTTTTTTTTATTTTTTGTTTTGTTTACCTACGCACTGGTGAATAGCAATGGCAATATGCGTCGTGGATTTGGTTATGTTGGTGGTTTTGACTTTGAGATGTGGTGCTGAGAAGTTGTACGGTGTCTTGTTGATCTTGTTCACGTCAGTGTTTCGGGGCACAAACCGGATCATGCCGCTTCTTGGCAATGGCCCGGCCCGGGATTTTTTACTGTAGTGTAAGTGGACTACCTAGCCGATGTGGGCCCACTACGGAGGTACTGCTCTCCTTAAAATCTTTATCGCTCGACTTACCGTACGGAGGTACTGTGGTACCTATCCGTTTGTCGGCCCTGCCCTCCAAAACACTGCAACAAAATCGCCGTAGCTGCAGGACCGGCCGGACCGCGCCAGCGTCCTACTGCTCTCTACTATTTACTCCACACTGATGGCTTTATAAGTGCATGTGAGTACCTACCTACCTAGAACCTACTAACATGCGTCGTCCCCCAATAGAACCGGCTCGCGATTGCTCTACACATGTTACACCCATCACAATCGACAGGTCGGCGACGACGAGCATCCTGATATATTCGTCAATGTTGCATAGTACCTACAGTCGTTTACAAAGTAAACCTGAAACTCGGGTGCCAATCACCCATGTTCTTTCTGTCCTCTTCGGGGAATGCCAGCCGGCCGTTGCGCTCGCCGCGCTCTCGCCTCCGGTTCTCAGCCCACATGAGGCCGGCCATGACCCCGGCGCAAAGCGCGCCGAACCACATCATGCCCAGGGCTACACCGTAGCCCGTCCTGTAGGTGGGCGCCTCGGACCTGATAAAGATGAAGGCACCGATGATGCCTGCAACATTGCCAATCATGACCTGCGATGAGGCGCCAAACGACCGCTTCCAGTGGCCCGACAGGTTGTTTTGCAGCCACCCGAGGCACATGGGCGTGATCATGTAGGCGCCGCCGAAGACGAGAAAGACGGCGGCAAACTTGTAGTCGCGCGACTTGCCCTCCTGCGCGAGCAGCATGGCATAGCCCACGGTGGACAGCGACGCACCGCCCATGATGAAGCCGAAGCGGTGCTTGAGGCGGTCCGACGCCCACGCGCCGAGCACCATCATGCCAGCCGCGACGACGTAGACGGGGATGGTCCGCACCTGCGCCTCCTGCGCCCGCCACTCGAACTCGAGCAGGATGGTCGGCAGGAAAAAGGTGCCCGACAGCCCGGCCACCGAGACGCCCATGTACAAAAACCCGCCCAACCAGATCTTGTAGTCGCGGACAATGCGAGTCAACGCAAACCTGTTGAGCGTGTCCATACGGCAGACATGTCCCCTCGCGTCGACGGCCATGCGCCGGCGGAGGAGCTCCTTCTCGTCGAGGCTGAGGTAGCGCGTCTGCTCGGGCCAGTCGATGATGACAAAGGAAGCGAGGATGCCCAGGGCGGCGGTGATGGCGCCCTCGATGATAAAGATCCAGCGCCAGGCGGCCATGGACGGCGTGCCGAGGTCGGCGATGGCGTAGGCGAGCAGGCCGCCAAAGGCGCCAGCCGTGACGGTGCTGCAAAAGAAGAAAGACATGCGCTTCTGGTACTCGTGGCGCTTGTAGTACATGGACGACACGTAGACGATGCCCGGCAGCACGCCGGCCTCGAAGACGCCCAGCAGCACGCGCAGGGCGACCAGCGCCGCGTACGAGTGCACAAAGCCCATGCACATGTTGACGACGCCCCAGCTGAACATGAGGCCCGAGATGAAGAGTGAGGGGCGGACTTTCTTGATGATCATGTTGCAGGGTACTTCGAGCAGGATGTACGACGAGTAATAGGCCTGGGACGTACAGTTAATACTACTAACTAAACAGTCCTAGCCCTGTCCCTAACTAGTAGGTATTTCGCGGCAAAAGATGGGATCGGAAGCATACAAAGAGCGCGACATTGAACCGGTTGCCCTCGTCGAGATGCAGCTCGGCCGACATGCCCTGGATGTTGGCATTGCTGATGTTGATGCGGTCCAGGAAGGCCATCATGTAGACGACGAAAAAGACGGGGAAAATAATCAGGTCAAGTTTCCTGACAAGCCGCCGCTCGGCCTGTGGATCGATCGGTGCAGGATCGTTCAACCCATCGTCCGAGCAAGGCGACTCGGACCCGGGCCTCGCGACAAGGTCGGTGGCAGCCCCGGCATCATGATCGATGTGCTGTTTCTCGTCGGCGACTGACATGGTGTGTGTTCCGTAGTACTACTAACTTGGCTGCCGGTACCGACCGGGAAACATGAGGTGGGTTGCACGAATGCAGGGAGAGACAAGACGGTGGAAGTACTGGAAACGCCAGTGACATATGGGAGGAAGAAGAGGACCTATATGATAGAAGCTGCAGCTGGAAAAAGAGTGAACTCCTCACAGCGGCATGAGAGTTGCATGCTCACGTCAGATCTACCTCACATTCATTGCGGGTACTATATCTAATAGTTTCCTAATTCCTACCTACCTACCTACCTAGGTTGGGTTTGTCGCCGGGTAGCCAAGAGCCAGGGCGAGTCAAGACTGGTGAGCCCTCGTCTGAGGAAGCTCGGGGGTGGCATTGGTGTTACTGTACACTGTGTACAGTACATACATATACTATTGATTATTGAATTATGTTCTATGGTAGCAAACCAGTCGATGTTCTGCAGTTGGGCCTGGAGCTGCATCGGCTATTGTGTCGCCGCAGGGGGTTTCTTTCTGGTTGGCGAGGAGTATCGGTAACTCGAACCCTGCATGAGGATGCTACACAGCTACAGCCTGCTAGGCACCCTGAATCCTGGTTGATATGGACTGCGGCCATTCTTCCTTTTAGAGCGAGAGAGTAGGTAGCTTCCATTCACTGGAAAGCGGCCTTAGCTGTGTTGTTTGGCTTTGAGGAAACCCGCGTTGGTAGTGGAAAATGACGAAAAGGCTACGTTCGGTACGGGTCAGTATCGGCATGCCAAGTGCCGGAAGCCGGACCCCACTCTCGGAGGTGGCCCGGCCCGGCGGGGATCATTCCGGGTGGGCCCATATTCAACGGCTGCCATCCTTCGTCGCCCCGCTGACACGGTTTCCATTTGTCAGAATAGAGTTCTAAGACTGGAGGAGCCACTGTATGGATTTCCATCTTTCTTGTACCGGTATTCACTGTCGTTCCGCTAGGCATCTGTATTCCAGATTCTCCAACTACAGGTATGTTAAGAACCGACTTCATTCGCTTTCGGCCTGGACCTTCGTATGTACTTTACTGCCCCTATCCGCAAATGTCTGCCGTCTTCCAAAATCAGTTAGTGGGAATTCAGAATTTCGAATTCGGAGGGTTGTTTGAAATTCCCAACCCCCGGTTTATACCCCTGCGTGCCGTTTTGTCTCACCGCATGGGAGAGCAACGGAAAGATCCCTCGAAGAGCATTGTATGCGTGCACCTTTTTGGAGCGACTCTGGCGCTTGGAAACTCTCCTCCACAAACATGACAGATTGCAACACCAATTTTATCTGGACGCACGCGAATGCTTTTCTTCACCTGATCATCGGTTTTCTTTGCCTTGACTATCAAGTAAGGATTCTTCTAGGCTCTTGGGTACGACAAACGGAACATGAGTGGTTCAAACGCCGATACCGCCCGCCTGGAGCGCGCATCTGCCGAGTCGAGAGCAAACAAGGCCAGGTCCAGGAAGGCGAAGAGGAAAGATGGAGGGCGGTTGGACAAGATTGCTCAATGGCTATTGGAGAATCAGACCGGTACGTATAGGGAACGACCACCTATGTCTCTGGGTGCCGATGGTTTCCTCTCCATGCCGCGAACCCCGAGAGCCAATGCTGACTCCCCGCTCCATAAACAGGCCTGGTGTTTCATACTGTCGCCCCCCTCTTTCTTGCGCACCTTTGCATCCCCGCGGCCCGCCCATTCACGTCCAAGTTCTTTGAGCTTTCATACTACAACCCATATACAGGCATATATAGCGCCGGCCATAATGATCTGTGCTTCGTCGCGCTGTGCGTGGTGTTATGCATCGGTATTCGCGCAGCCTTGATGGTCCATGTCCTCTCGCCCCTTGGCAGGCACTGGGGCATCAAGAAGAAGAAGGATGCGACGCGATTCGCCGAACAAGGCTGGATGTTGACCTACTATATTGTTTTCTGGCCTCTTGGAATGGTAGGGACACCGAGAGCATCGCCCACGAACAACTTGAAGATCCGTGAAACCTGTCTGACCGACTGGTTTCTCTCTTAGTATCTCTACTGCAAGTCGCCTTACTACCTCAATATGAAGGAGCTGTGGTCCAACTGGCCACAAAGGGATCTTGACGGGCTGATGAAGGCATATATCCTGGCGCAACTGGCATATTGGATCCAGCAGGTCATTGCTGTCAATATCGAGGCCCAACGGAAGGACTATAAGGAGATGTTGGTCCACCACGCCATCACCATCTCTCTCATCGTTGCATCCTATGCATATCATCAGACGCGGGTCGGCCATTTGATCATGGTACTGATGGACGTGATTGAGTTGATTTTTCCTGTGAGTTTGGCATGATGCAAAGACGAGGCTTGCTGGGAACCTCTGGCTAACCCTGAGGAAACAAGCTGGCGAAATGCCTCAAGTACCTCGGCTTCACGACGCTCTGCGATGTGGTTTTTGGCGTTTTCTTGTTTGTTTGGGTTTGGACACGGCACGTTTTCTACCTCATGATATGCTGGAGTGCCTACCATGACGTGCCAAAAGTTTCGAAAATGGGGTGTTTTCGGGGTGCCCCTGGTGAAATCGCCGGCCCATTTCCCGCGCCGACAGAAGGTTGGTCGCATCTTTTGGAGCCATTCAAAGACCCTGCAGGAACGGTGTGCATGACCGATGGCGTCCGCCAGGGTTTCTTGACGTTCCTCCTGGCTCTCCAGGTCGTCATTTGCGTGTGGTCTTTCTTCATCATTCGGGTCACAGTGCGTGTGCTCAAGGGCGCTCCAGCCGAAGATGTGAGGAGCGACGTGGAGGCTGAGGAGACGGAAAGCGGGTTCTACGAGGAAGAGGTGGTGGCTATCGAGGAGGACGTGGGCGTTGACTCCATCGATCTCAAAGCCTGGGAGCGTCGCAACGGTAAAAAGTCTACGAGTTCGAGGGTGACTGGCGCCAATGTTCGCAGCCACGGGGACCGCAAGGATCTGCTCACCAGAATTGGGTGCGAGAAGCAGATCGATTGAGAAAGACACGCGGAATGCCCACTCCTCTATTTCCAGCTATGATCATGATACAGGCAGAAAAACAGGAAAAGAAAAAGAGAGAAAACCCAGGTTCGATCCTCACCATGCTTTCCATCGAAGTTTGCAATGAACTGATACAGGCGACATGAACCATGTATCATATTCGCTCGTGATGAACCTCAAAGTTCAGGCTCGAAGAACCGAAAAGATCAGGATAATGCCAGCTCCACGAATGCCCGACATGCGCGAACACTCTTTACCGCGTAAGGCCCTTTTTTGGTAGGAAACGTGCCATGTTCCGTCCAGTTCGGAGGCATATCGTGACATTTACCTTCCGATTCGGAGGGTAAAAGAACATCTTGCACAATGCAGCCCAGGCTCAGGAGTCAGGGGTTAGGGACCCGTTCCAATGTCGGTGGGAGAGACGGCACGACAGAAAATTTGATAAACGTTCTAGATTCAAGCGCATCAACAAGCTTGTGATTGGGAGCTTGCGAACAGCATAGTCGTAGCTGTATGTCATGGTTTAGATCTGGTTGTCTGTTCCGCAGGTGAGGAGGTGTAAGCAGCAAGCCGAGCCTACGCCTATGGATATAGACAGTAACCCCAACCCTTCACAGCCTAACCCTACATTAGCCCGGGCGGTGTGGGGCGTCTGGCGGTCTAGCCAGGCAGTAACATTATTAGCCCTTAGAGTTTACGAATAGGGGTGTGCTACAGTAAGCAACCAGCCCCACCTCTCCTTAAAAGTCATCTCGCTAAAATTGATGCCACCGCATAAGCAAAGAAAGGTCTTGTGCTCTCAATTCGCGAACTCGGGAAAAAATAATTTGATAAGCGGCCATGGACATGGGTTAAAATTGCAGAGTCCATCTCACTTCTCGCGCATTCCACATTGTCTTCCTCACGCTCACCGACGGAGCTGGTCGTGGCCACCCTCACGTTCTCGAAACCAGACTCGCAAGCCGGCTCAAGATGGGCGCCAGAGACCTGAACCCCAATCCGGGGATCAAATTGACTTCGATGAAGCGTCACGCAAAAAACCTGAGTCGCGCGAAGCGAAGAAAGGCATCATCACTGGCCGCCGCATTCCAAACTCACCGCCGCACCTGGGTTGTTCCTTTGATCCTGGCGACTGCGATTCTTCTCGTCTACGCTGTCAACCCGACCGAATCCAATCCGGCCTATCCGTTTATCTTCCTGTCGTACAAGTTGGGGGACGCGGTCGATGGCTCCAGTGCGGCACCACAATTCGGCAAGGGGCTTCGGGATATCCTCTTTGTATGCTTCTACACAATAGTCTTGACGTTTACGCGCGAGTTTTGCATCCAGGAGATATTCACCCCTCTTGCCCGCCGGTGCGGCGTGACATCACGCGCGAAACGGGCGCGGTTCGCCGAGAACATGTATACGGCGCTCTACATCGCCTTCATCGGGCCCTGGGGCATGTACCTCATGTACCGCACGCCGGTTTGGTACTTCAACACGCATGGAATGTACGAGGGCTTCCCGCACCGCACGCACGAAGCCGGGTTCAAGAGCTACTATCTACTCCAGGCCGCCTTTTGGATGCAACAAGTTGTGGTGATGGTCTTGGGACTGGAAGCGCGGCGCAAGGACTTCAATCAGCTCATCGGACACCACGTCGTCACGGTAGCGCTCGTGGCGCTCAGCTATCGGTTCCATTTTGGCTACATGGGCATTGCCGTCTACATCACGCACGACATTAGCGATTTCTTCCTGTCTGTCTCCAAGTCGTTGAACTACATTGAGAGCAAGGCGCAGGGCTGGTCGTTTGGGCTGTGCGTCATCATGTGGATCTACCTGCGGCATTACATCAACCTACGCATCCTGTACTCGGCACTTCCAGGAGGAGAGTTCAGCACTGTCGGCCCGTACGTGCTTGATTGGGAAGCGGAGCAGTACAAATGCCCACTGGCCAACGTCATCACCTTCAGCTTGTTGGCCGCGCTCCAGGCATTGAACCTCTTCTGGCTATACTGCTTGTTCAGGGCCGCCTACAAGTTCGTTATTCTCGGAGTGGCCAAGGATGACAGGTCGGAAGCAGAAGACGAGGGCGAGGAGGCCGAGAAAATGCTTGACGGAAAGGCTCCCCATAAGGACGATCCGTTGGCGACAGTGGTGGGCGATTCTGATGTACCAGCCCAAGTTGCTGGCAACGGACTGGGACCGAGTCAAGGGCCGGTGATGCATAGGAAGACCAGGGCGAGTGTAACTAATGGGTAAGTAAAAGAAGATACAGGAGATGACCCTCGACAGGACACAAGTCTCTCGGGGAGCTCAGAAATGAAGAGGGCGAAACACTGGGGCGAGCACGACCTTGCTCAGGCTCTGAGCGGTGTCCTGGGAGTGCTGACGTCCGAGTTCCCTTGCTCTACGGCCTCCACCGGTGGCAGGGCTCCCAAACGCATTTGTGGTTCGTTGGGTGCTCGAGATCTGTCAGGCAGGGTTGGTTTGGGCAAACAGGGTTAGCTGCCGACGCAGGGCAATCCGTCGCATTTACGAACGAACGTACTTAATGAATAATAAAGGGGGACACATTCCCACGGCAAATTTAACAACATTGCTAAACATGATTGACCGAGCTCAGACAAGGCCGACCCCCAACTTGAAGATGAACAAGACGCAGCTGAAATCTCAAATCACCTGACTAAAAGCAACGAGAATGACATGTTCCCAGACCGAAAGACGCAAATGAACTCCGAAATCACCCAACTTCAAGCAACAGAATTACATGTTCCAAAGCCGCCTCAATCGACATCATGACCGCCTCAACAGTCGCGGCAGATTCATGGGCTCCCCACTTCCCAGCGAGCTCGCAAACACGGCAGCCATGGCGCTCGACAAACCCGCCTCCTCTGCACGCCCAATCCATTCTTCCAGCGAAAGGACCTCGATCTCTTTACCCTCCGCCTGGCCCGCCAGGTACTCTCTAATCTGCCTCACATCCAACTCCAAATCGCCCGACTCATGGAAATAAACCACTCCGCCAGCACTGCCAGTGTGTTCACTCATCATCACGGCCTCGACCACCTTGGCCGCAACCGACTCAGGCCGTACCAGATCCACCCACCCCCTGAGCCCCTCCGGCGGCGCGGGCACGGCACCTATGCGCTGCGAGTAGTCCAGCATGTTCTGCAGCACGTCCGCAGCGGGGTTCTCGCCCGTCCTGTCCTCTTCAGGGCGGATGATGCTCGACGCGCGGTGGATCACGACAGGCAACCCGGTCGCCGCGTGCACCTTCTCCAGGCACACCTCGCTGGCCCATTTGGAGGCGACATAGCCCGGCGCCCCGTCCTGAATTTGAGCCGGTGGTGGTTGGTGATCCCGCACCGAGACCTCAGCCAGCGTGTCAGAGGGCGTGTACATGCCCACACCTGTCGTGGAGACGTAGTGGATTGGCACGCGGCGCGGGACGCACAGCTTGACCAGCTCGCGTGTTGAGCCGAGGTTGGCGGCGCGCAGGGAGGAGTAGGTTTTCAAGTGGGACACGTCGGCGCCGTTGTGGATTACGGCGTCAGCTTCGAGGGAGAAGATGCGTTGCGCGTCGGACGGGGGGAGGCCGAGGAGGGGTTGGCTTAGGTCGCCGGGGTAGAACTCGAATTTGACGCGGCTGCCTCCGGCAAGGGAGGAAGTGAGATTGGAAAGAAGGGCCTGGCGGGATGGGTCGTGCGCGTTCCGGACGGCGATGCAGATCACCTTTTGGATGTGGGCGTGCTCGGCTAGGTAGCGGCAGAGGTGCTGGCCGAGAAAGCCGGTGGCGCCGGTGAGTACGACCGTGCGAGGCGGAACCTGAGGGGTTGTGGCGGGCAGTGATGACAGTGTTGTTGCTGGCTGAAGAATGTCGGCGTCAGTCACAGCTGTTTCGGCCTCCCAGTCGATGATGCTTTGCACCTCGTTGCCGTCGTCATTGTCATCATCAGCATCTCCAGGAAGGAGCTGCGCCATGGACCGCAGCGAGGTGGCCTGGAAGAGTTTAGGGAGCGGGATGGACGTATCGAGAGCCGCTCGGATTCTGCCTTGCAACTCGATCAGAAGCAGCGAGTTCCCGCCGACCGTGAAAAAGTCCGAGTCGGCGTCGATTTGGTGGAGTTCCGAGAGTTCCTGTGGGATCACGGCTTCCCAGAATCCTCGAAGAGTCTGCTCCTTTTTGGATAGCAACCCTCCGCTTGTTGATCCAAACATGTCGGACCGCTGCTCGACCTTGTGGGATATAGGCAGGGCGGCGATAGCCCTCCTGTCGACCTTGCCTGCGACGGTCCTTGGCAAAAGGTCGATGGGAATGAGTGCCGAGGGCAGCATGGTCCGCGGGAGCGGGAGCTCCGCCAGCAGGGCCTGCAGGTAGCGGCGACTTTCGTCCTCGGTCGAGTCCTGAGCTGAAAAGACGACGTGGACGACCATGAATTTGATGCCCTGGTCGTCTTGGTTTTCGGCCTTGGTGGTCCGCAGGGTGGCCACAGCGTCGGCAAGGATACCGCCCGACGCCCGGAGCACGGTTGCCTCGACGTCTTTGAGGTCGATGCGCACGCCGTTGAGCTTGATCTCAGTGTCATCCCCGACGCGGCCCTTGAGGACAAGAGTGCCGTCCGGCTCAAGGTACCCGACATCTCCGGTTCGGTACATTGTCTTCCACCACCCCTTCTTGTCATTGTTGTCCTCGGAAACCGCAAAGCGGTCTGGCAGGAACGACGCTCTTGTGCGTTCATCCAGGTTCAGATAGCCCATGGCAACACCCACGCCACCAATGGCGATCTCTCCTATTTGGCCGACGGGTAGCAGATTCTGTCTCTGGTCGAGTATGTAGAAGCACTCATTTGCCGACGCCCTGCCCACGGGGATAATGCCCCGCTGATAGTACCCAAGGGTCTGGTACGAAAGCTCCGACTTGGTCGAGCCGCACGTTGTCTCCGTCGGGCCATAGACATTGAACAGACGAAGACCGGGTCGGTCCGCCTCCCTGAAGAGTTGGAGCAGCGGCTCGGTGACGGCTTCTCCGGCGACCAGAGCCAAACGCCAGGACGACAGACCAATGACAAGCTCCCGATTCTCACGTCGCAGCCAGCTCTTGTACTCGGTTGGCGTCGCGTAGGTCGCTGTCACGCCTTGGCTCCGAATCATGTCGATCATGGCCCGCGAGTCGGAACGCATGACGTGGGATACCGTGTGGAGTCGTGCTCCGACGCCAAGGGCAAGGAAGATCTGCGTCACCGACAGGTCGAAGCTCCACGCGCTTTGCTGCAGCACGACGTCGTCGACGCCTAGTTTGTACGTGGCGGCGCAGTGGTCAAACTCGTGCTTCAGGCTGCCGTGGCTCAGGATGACGCCCTTTGGGGTTCCCGTCGACCCGCTGGTGTACAGAATGATTGCTGGCGCGTCTGATTTGGCGAGCGTGGCGACCGTCGTCGTCGCTTGTGATGCAGACCGGCTCGATACGTTGACGATCAGAGGCCTGGGCTGTTGACCTCCCACTAGTTTCTCTGCCTCTTCTGCGGTGGGCCCATGGACGAGAATGGCCACAGGCTGGCTGTCGCGGACCATCAATGACAGCCTGGCGATGGGGGTGTTGGCATCCAGGGGGACGTAGACGGCGCCAACCTTCATGATGGCGAGAAGGGAGGCGATCCACAGGATGTTGGGCTCCTGAAAGACGGCTACCCTGGATCCAGGCTTGACGCCCTTGCGCAACAGCTCCGAGGCAACTGTGTCAACTCGTGATGCTAGTTGCTCATAGGTGAGTGAACCACCGTGGCAATCCGTCACGGCCGTTCGCTGGGCAACGCTCGGCATGAGCTCGTCGAATCTGTGAACCAGTGTGTCGGGCCACGTGGAATCGAAACTGGGACCTGTTACGGGTTGTTTGTTAACATGACACAGGATTTGCTTCAACGTGTTGCTCAGAACTCACCACGACCGAGAACAAGGGCCTTCTGGAGAAGGTCGGGTCTGAACTGCCAATTGTCGCCAATCTCCTTGTCGGGCGCATTCGCGAACTCTTCCAGAATGTCTTGGTACCCATGCTGCAGGACCTGCGCATCCGCGTCGGTGTACAGAGACGCCTGTACGTTCAAGAGGATTCGCGTGTCGCCTGTGGTATTGTTGTTGATGACGGTGAAAGTGATGTCGTAGGGCAGCTCGGCCATCTCCTGCTTCATCATCTTCATGCGGCAGCCAAGGAACGACTGCCCGTCTGCCAGGTCATTCTCAGCATAGTTCATAAACGCCTGGGCCAGAGGCGTGTGCGTCGCCTGGCGGGGGACCAGGAGTTCGTTGAGAATGACCTCGAGGGGGATCGAGTTGGCAAGCACCTCGAGGCTCTTGTCGCGGGCCTCGTTCAGGGCTTCGGAAAAGACCTGACCCTTGCTCGCCGCCATCCTGAGCGGAAGCATGTTCAGGAACGGACCAATGCCGGTGCGCATGTGCTCGTCGCGGCGGCAGCTGTCGGCGATGCCCACGCAGACGTCGGTCACGCCGAGGAACCGGTGGAGGAGCACTTTGAAGGCGGCAAGGTGGAAGTGGAAGGGCGTGACACGGTGCCTCCTGGCAACCTGGCGGATCTTGCCCGAGAGCTGGCTGTCGATGCAAAAGTCGGGAATGCGTGAGGCGTAGCGCTCAAGAGGCTGTCTCTCGGAGATCTGGCTGCGGTGGAGCGGCAAGGGGTCTGGGATGATGGTAAACTCGCTGCGCCAAAACTCGATGGCCTTGTCCCACTCGCCCGCAGAGTACTGCCGGAGCTGGTCCTGGGAATAGTCGAGGTACTGAAGAGGGTTGGGGTCGAGGGGGTGGTTGTGGTAAAGCCGTTCCAGATCGCCCATGACGGCATCGTTGCTGGCCCGGTCGAAGAAAATGTGGTGCGAACTCATCAGAAGGAAATGATCGCGCGGCGAATACGAGAGAAGAAGGGTTCTGCTGGTCTGACCGCGCGCAAGGTCAAAGGCATGACCACGCAGCGCCGCATATTCATTCCAGAGGTCGTCCTTGGTGTGGATTTTCTTGTGTTCGAGGGACAAGGTGGGCGACTTGAGGACCCCCTGGCTTGGCTGGCCGTCGCGATTGTTGAAGATGCAGCTTCGCAGCGTCTCGTGGCGCTCTCCAAGGCTTCGGACGGCGCGGGCGAGGTCGGGAATGCGTATTGGCCCACTAAGATGAAGCATGACTGTGTTGTTCAGGGTGGTCTTGTCAGGCAAGAGCTCATGCACGAACAAGAATACTGACTGGGTGTAGGACAGGTGGCCGAACCTCTCCATTTCGACCTCCTGAGGGGGTAATGGTGCAACCAATGATGCCCTCTCTTCCTTGGATCCATCGTCACCATCGACAACCGATGAGATCTCAGAGTCCGGCGCTGTCGTCGGCGGCGTTCCTGACTTTTGGGACGAGCTATCCAAGGCAGACGACGAGGATTTTCCTGAGGTCGACGAGGTTTCTTCTCCTGACGATGAGGAAGCACTTGAAGACAATCTTGGAGCAACTTCGGCGGGCATTTCGTCAACGGCATAGTCAACGAGTTCTTGCAGGGCCGCGCCCTTGAGAATGCGGAGGGCAGGGATGTTGACTTGGAAGTTGTTGAGGAACCAGGATCGAATGCGAACAGCCACGAGGGAGTCGAGGCCGAGCTCATCAGTGCGGACCGAGGGCGTGATGGCGTAATCGTCGCTTAGGTGAAGCATTTTGCGCATCTCGGCGATGAATGACTCTGTACAGAGTTGAGGCTATTTAGTCCGTCGGCCAGTGAAGGGAAAAAGGGAGATATACTCACCAGAGATGATCTTTTCAACCTCATCCGTCGTCGCCGCATTTTCCAGCTTCTCCTTGATGGAAGGTCCGGCCTGGGTATTGGTTGCATTTGTCTCGCCTGCTGCTGCTTTGATCGTGAGACACGAAAACTGAGGGTAGCTGTACCACTGCGGACGATTCGGCGCGTCGGCAGCCATCTGTCTCAGGCCGATGGAAATCTGCCATTCGGCACCAGAGTCCGGATGGCCGTATCCGACGGCTTCTGCCAGCGTCTGATGGACATCATACTCGGAGATGGTCAACAGGCCTCGCTCGAACGACGGCCGCGTCAGGACGTTGCCCTTCTCGCGCGTGATGTATCCCGTGCCCATGATGAGACCAAGCTCCACCACCGACGCCGGAAGCCCACGCCTGCGTCTCTGCTGGGCCAGACCGCTCATGAACAGGTTGGCCGTCGTGTAGCCGGCCTGTCCAGGGTTGCCGGCAACGGTGGCGACGGACGAGAAGAAGATGAAGAAGTCCAGGGGCTCGTCTCCCAGCACGCGGTCCAGGTTCAGACTTCCCTCCACCTTGGGGCGAAGCACGCGGCTGAAGTCGTCCAGCTCCATGTCGCGGAGGGCCATGTCAAGAAGAACCATGGCTCCTTGGTAGACTCCTGCGACAGGGGGCAACTCGTCGCGAATCCGGCCATGTGTCTTGGCAACATCGTCATAGTTCGTGAGGTCGCTGCGATTGTGTTAGTACTAGAAGTTTGCTAACCGATGTGTCCCAGGCCAATACTTACCACGACATGATGCTCACTACGGCGCCTCTGGTTTCGGCACTGCGCAGCCACCGCTCGTCAATGTTTGGGTTTCGACTCGTGATGACGAGGTATTTGGCCCCGTTTCTGATCATCCAGTCAGCAATCGAGATTCCGAGATCTCCGGACAGCCCAACCAGCCAGTAGGTGCGGTCTGCCCTGAACTGAGCCGCGGCTGGTTGTATTTCCACGGCAACGGATGGTGCGCTCCAGTCAACAATGGCGAGCGCATCGAACTCCTCGGCATCACTCGTTCCAAGCTGCTGGATGTTGACCTGGCTGATGCCCGGCTGCATGCCACCTTCGTTGTTGGCAAGGGTAGAAAGGGCAGAGTCCTGGGCGGCCTGAAGCAGCTCGCTGAGCATAGTCTCTGTCTCCGCCAGTCTGCCATGTACGGGGAACCAGGCGGTCCCATCGACAATAGGAACACCGAATGGCAGGCATGAAGCGACCATGGACACCCCCTTTCCAGTTGTCGTCGTGAAATCGACGCAGCGTGAAACCTGCGCAGGCAAAAGCGTCCTCGTCTCAGACTGGCGCATATACCGCCCGATATGGATCCAGCCGAGCTCTGCCGCGACAGCCTTGGACGAGGTCGTGTAGATGGTCTTGATACGCGATGACTTGGCATGCTGGCTGAGGACGTGTGCAAGCGAGGCCGGGGCGTTGTGCACAACAAGGGTGTCGCCCTGACGCAACGAGGCCGTCATGGCAGGCAAAACCAGGTGCGCGGCGACAAGGGCCAGGAACAAGGAGGCCGATTCCGTTGAGACCCGAGTCAAAGGAATGACCCTGTTCTCTGGCATTTCGACAAGGGAGGTGACATGAATCGAGTCGCAAAGACCCAGGTACTGAATGCCCGTCTTGGTGCAGGTTCCTGTGACCAGGAATGCATCAACACCGGCCGCCGTCTTGATGGCTCGCAAGCTTGACAGGCTCAGCTTCAAAGTCACGGTTGGACCCATGATGGCGCCGATCCGCGTGGATGATCGCTGGACCAGGGCATACTGGCCACCACTACCACCCTTGGTCTCATACGCAATCGGGGACTCCTGCGGGTTGACATCCTTGGTAATGGCCCGGCGCGACGAGTTGTAGCGGTCGTTGGCTTCGCTGACGGGTCTCATACGGGGAACCAACTGACGCCCGTCTGCATCAATGACGATCTCGGACTCAACTGACCAGAGGGTATTATCCTTCACCGACCCGGCCACCTGGAATCGCAGCACGGCTTCTGCCAAGGTTCTCGCATCGATCCTGTAGGCATCCTGGAAGTCGATGAACTGGTAACGTATCTCGGGGATTTCCCACAGTGCCGACCGAGCAAATCCGACAGCCATGTTGGCGAAGGGGTTGTCGGTCATGCGGTCCTGGGTGACCCAGGCGATGGCCTTTTGCGAGCCAAAGAGGCTCTTGAGACCGTTCCAGCGTGCCGGCGTGATGTCCTTGAAGACGGCATGGTCAAGATCCTCCAGGACGAGGACGGTGGCGTCAGAACCGATTGCTACTTGATCATTATCCAGTTCCTCGATAGACGCCACCCTGGTGATGTCGTCACAAAAGCCATGAATGAGCTTCCGCACATCCTCAGCAAGTCGAGACACACGCAACGTTGACCCTCCAACGATGAAGAGGTGTTTGATGATATTGGACGGGCCCGAGGAGAAGAGCGAGGGTGATGCCGATGCCATCAGCGGCTCGCGAACAAGCTCGACCCATTCGCTCAGCGCCTGTGAGACCATGACCGAGTTTGGTAGGGCCATGGCGTCCTTGACGGGGGTCATGGTGTCAACCCCTGAAAAGCCCGTCTTGCGCAGGATCGAGTCCCACGCCGACTCAGAAACGCAGGCGCCAAGGGTCCGTCCTTCGTCCATGCCTTGCCACCACCCCGGCAGGCAGCCAAACAGCGCAGTGCCTCGGATGATGTCCGTGTTAGTCACCTCAAACAGGACGAGGTAACCCCCCGGCTTCAAGAGAGACCGCACGCGGCGCACTGTCTGCTCTAAGCTCAGCGTCGCGTGTAGGACAAAGGACGCCACCACGACATCGTACGAGTGCTCCTCAATCCCCTGAGCCTTGACCTCTTGCTCAAGATCGAGGACGCTGTACGTCATGGCCCCCTCGTACGCAGCAAACTCCTCCTGGGCCTTGTCAAAGAATCCCGCCGAGACATCGGTAAAGGCGTAGGTCAAAAACCTGTCGCCGATGCGCTTGAGTATTTCGCGAGTCGCACCGCCCGTGCCAGCACCAACCTCCAAGATCTTGGCCCGCGGGTACCGCTGGGTGATCTGCGCCACCGTGTCGGCCAGGAGGGCGGTGCCGCGCGTGATGCTGCGTGCCTTAGCGTAGTAGTCTGCCAGCAGGCCGTTGTTCATCAAATGCTCCAGCATGTTTGTCTCGCCCCGGATGGCCCGCGGCATTTGCTCGCCGACGACGTGCATGGCCTGGATCTCGGGCTGGTCTGCGAAGGGCGCCGAGAGGGAGACGATGTCCTCCAGCGTGTCGTTGAGCCACTCCTTCTTGGCGTAGCGGTGTCGGCCTTGCTGGACAAGCTTGAGCGTGTGCGAGGCGAAGTTCAGGTACGCGGCGTTGTACTTGTCGGACCGGCCAGGGTGGTCTTGGTGAATCTGGTGCTCTAGTTGGTTGAGATAGAACAGGCTCCCGCGTTCGAGGATGGCGGCCACCTCCTTGTCCTGGACTGACGCCTCGTAGGTGCCGGGCAAATCGCAGTTTGGCTCCGAAGGGACCCAGTCGGTGGCGTAAAACTGCTGCTGGTCATCTGCCGCAGACGCGGGCGTGAAAGGGACGACGTGCAAGCCCTCGACCTGCACGGCAGTGTATTCGCCCGTGGGGTCGTGGATGTCAACATCCCCCTGAAACCCAGACGTGCCTTCATCAGCGTCGTCGTCGCCCATGGATGCAACAAAGGGCACTTGAGTAGCATCCACCCAGTTGCGCCCGCACAGAGAGGGGTTGACTCGAATCCTGTCGATGCGCGTTGGGAGATGCAAGCTCCAGAGACGGCCATCTTCGGGGTAGCTAAAGGTCAGGATGATGGAGTGGAACGCAGCATCCAGAACCGCAGGATGGATCATCAGCACCCCAGTTTGGTCTGGGTCTGCGTCATGTGTCAGGGCAAGAGTCCCAGATGCCTTTCCAAGCTTCCTCTTCAAGCCGGACAAGGCCTTGAAGGGGCCCGTGTACCCATAACCGACTCCGGCCAGCGACGAGTATGCGAGCTCCGTGTCCACGTCCACCATGTACGGCTCGAGACGCGCAGTGGCCGGGAGCATGTCGCGCAAAGGCTCACCGACGGCGACCAAAATCTCGCAGCTAGCGACGAGCTGGAAGCTCTGGTCGTGCCCGGTGATGGCCTCATAGGTGAAATGGGCTAAGATGGAATCATCCCCGCGTCGAATGTTGCTGACCACGGAGCGGACCTCGATGCCTGACTCTTGATCGTCGTTGCCAAACACCAAGGCCTGGTGGATGAAGAGGTCCTGGATCTGCATCATGTGCACAGGGCTGCCATTGGCGAGAAAAGGGATTGTCTCGAGTGCCGTAGCGGCATACGCAGCCGCTGGAAAGACCGTCTGGCCCTGGATCCGGTGGTGATGGACCCAAGGGAGGTCTTGAGGCCGCAGGATGGCCTTCCAGGTGACTTGATGCGCCGAGCTCTGAGGCTGCAGGTCGCCAAGGAGGGGATGAACCGGTTGGCTTCTGGTACGCAGGCTGCGGGACAAGTTGGACTCGTGCCAGTACCCCTGGCTGTGGTTCCATTGGTAGGTGGGCAAGTCAGGGATGAAGCGATGCGATGTCGGTCCGCCCATGCAGGCCTCGTATCGGTCAAAGTCAATGTCCAGGTTGTCAACGTGCGTCCAGACATAGCCAAGCGCTGCAGAAACACTCTCGATGGCGTCGGTGTTGCGCTGGAGGAGGCCCGTGTAAGGAATCTCCTCAGACTTGTTGTTATGGTCCCGGAGTGTGTCGAGAACGGGCCCCTTCAAGGCCGGGTGAGGTCCAACCTCGATGGCTGCGTCGAATGGACCAAGCTCCGTGATGGCCCTTTCGACCGCCTGCTTGAACAGGACCGGGGAAAGCAAGTTATCAACCCAGTACGAAGTATCGACACTCGACCGATCGTCAAGAAGAGGGCCATCCGGGCGGACACTCGACACCCAGATGCATGACGATGCTGCCGATCCCGACGCCGAACCTGTCTTGGCTGAGGCACCAGTGGCAGTGAACGGTGCCATGGAGTCCAAGTAGGGCTGCGAACAAGGCACCATATGATGGGAATGGTACGCCTTATCCACCCTCAGCCTCCGAACGAACTTGTTCTCATCCTCAAAGATGTCGACCATGTCCACAATAGCGTCTTCATCGCCGGAAATGGTGATGCTCGAGGCCGAATTGCACGCAGCCACCTTGGCCCTGCCAGCAAAATAATCATCCTCACAAAGCCCCTGAGCATCCTCCAGACTCGTCCCAACAGCAAGCATAGCCCCCTTTATCTCCCCCTTACCACCACCACCCGCCAATCTCGAATGCAAACCCCGGTAGTAGGCAATCCGAATCGCATCCTCCGCCTGCAACACCCCAGCCGCAAACGCCGCGCCAATCTCGCCCGACGAATGGCCCACCACAGCCGCAAATTCCATACCGCATATGCGCAGCAGCTCCACTAGAATGACCTGCACCGCGGTACACAACGGCTGCGCAACCGCCGCGCTGCCGACCTGACTCGTCTTGGCATCAGCAAGCAACTGCTCCCTCAAAGTCCAGCCCGGACGGTCCGCCTCAGGAAGCTCGGCAAGCGCCCGGTCCATGTCCGCGAGCAGGCCCGCCGCGTAGGCCGACGTCTCGACGAGCTCGGCGCCCATGCGAGCCCATTGGGCACCCTGACCTGTGAAGATCCCCAGCAGGCGGGCGGATTTCTTGGTGGTGCTCGTGCCGGCGGATTTGGAGTCGATTTGGAAGTTGGTGTTGTTAAGGATGCTCTTGAGGTTGCCCTGCAGGTTTTCGAGGGTGGGGGATGCGGGGAGGGCGAGGCGCAGGGGGAGGCGGGATCGGCGGGAGCGGAGGGACCAGGATAGGTCGGCGAGGTTCGTGGAGGGGTGTTGGGAGAGGTATTCGGCGTGGGCGGCGAGGCTGGAGAGGAGGGATTGTTTGGACTGGGCGGAGAAGAGGAAGGGTGTTACTTGGCGGGGTGGTGATGATTGTGAGGGTTGTCTGTCGTTTGGCGGCGGCGGCTCCTCGAAACCCTCGAGGATGATGTGCGCGTTGGTCCCGCCGAAGCCAAAGCTGTTGACACTGGCACGGCGAGGTTGTCCGGGTGCAAGCTTCGGCCAGGGCATGAGCTCCTGGGGGATCTGAAGGTGGTTGTAGAAGGGGAGAACGTTGGGGTTGAGCTTCTCGAGCAGCATGTTCGGGGGGACATAGCCATGCTTCATGGCCTGCACGACCTTCATGATACCAGCGATACCCGCCGTGCTTTCTGTATGACCGATGATTGTTTTGATGGAGCCGACCAGTAGACGCTGCTGCTCCCTGTCCGAGTCGCCCTTCTTGGCTTCGGTCACGTTGCCGAAGAAAGCCGTGTGCACGGCCTCGGCCTCGACCGGGTCACCTGCCGGGGTGCCGGTGCCATGGGCCTCAAAGTACTGGCAACGATCGGCTTCTGAGTCAGGGTTGAGGCCTGCCTTGGCGTAGGTGGCTCGGATCAGGGCTGTCTGGGCCGTGGCACTCGGCATGGTGATGCCACGACTGCGGCCGTCCTGGTTGACGCCCGTCTCGCGGATGATTGCCTCGATGTGGTCTCCGTCTGCGAGAGCGGCGCTCAGAGTCTTGAGAACAAGAGCAGCAACGCCATCGCCTCGGGCGTAGCCGTTTGCGCCCTGGTCCCACATGCGAGACCGGCCATCAGGAGACAGCATTTTCAGCTTGCTCTCGTGGATGTAAGGCTCGGGTCCGAGAAGGAGGTTGCTGCCGGCTGCAACCGCGACGCGAACATCTCCGGAACGGAGAGCCTGGACCGCTTGGTGGACGGCGACCAGACTGGAAGAGCAGGCAGTATCAACCGTCAAAGACGGGCCGTGCCAGTCAAAAAAGTACGATATCCTGTTGGACACGATACTTCTCGCGGTTCCTTTTTGGTCATGTCAGCTGAAGAAGCACGGAGCATTGCATGTTTTGTTATTTACTTACCTATGGCGAGATATGTTGGGACATGCTGCAGATCGCGGAACTGCACAGACTCGTAGTCGACGTACATGACACCGACGTAGACACCGGTGTTGGACCCTTTGAGGCCCTCGATGGTCAGTCCTGCGCCCTCGAGGCCTTCGTAAACCGTCTCCAGGAGAATACGCTGCTGAGGGTCCATGGCCACTGCTTCTGCCGCTGTGATGTTGAAGAACTGGGCGTCGAACTTGGACACATCGTCCTGGAGCAGGTAAGAGTGTTTGACATTCGTGTGGCCAGGGAATTGGGAATCCTTGTGATGGAATCCAGCAGTATCCCAGCGGCTAGGGGGAATTTCGCACAGGACATCGCGCGGTTCCCTGAGGAGGTCCCAGAGTTTGCTCGGCGATGTTGCACCCCCTGGGAATCTGCAACCGCTGCCAACGATTGCGATGGGCTCGTTCCCAGCTGGTGTCGGAGATGTTGAGTCCATGATGATGTGATGTGTGATGTCTGATGTGACGAGTTTGAACTGAGTCCCGGTTGACTCCAGTTTGATCAGAGTCTGGTGTGAATGCCTCTGTTCTCAACGTAGCAGCAGCTGTGACTGGAACTAGAATATCTAGACAAATGAACCGGCAGCGTTCAGCTTGCAGGCAGGATATCTAGTAATAGTCCAGCCTTGAACTGAACAACACCAGACTGAGGGAATGTGTATATCACTCTTCATTACCAGTACATGTACTAGCAACTAATATTTTGTCACTTCAAAACATGTACCATCCCTCCTGCCGAGTCCATGATGCCTGCAGTGGTCTCCATCCTCTAAGGCTTACTCTAGCAGGCTAGCCACACCGCCGGGGCAACCAATCGGTGCAGCTGGGTCCAGTCAGCACTAGGTCCCTGGACGGTGGATGCAGGGTCCAGTTTCCAGAAGGATTGACGTGCTGCGCCTTTGTTCCATGCATCTAGAACGTATGCTAGTCACCGCTTGTGTCGCCGTAGTGTGGGCCCCGAATCGGCCGGTTAGATCCGCTAGATCCGCCCCGCCCTCCGTCTTATGCCTCCGAAGTGGTGAGAGCTGAGACAAGACGAACAAGTGCCATACAGTAATTATTGGTATTTGTGCTTGTAAAGGCCGGAGCCGATCATTCCAGGCTGCGTTGCTTCAGGTTGTGTTATGCAGTGAGATCCTTCAACACATGTGCAGGTCAAGGTTGGGGTCGGTACAGTCATGGCGCATATGTCGTCGGCATCTAGAACATGTGGGACATTATCGATTTTGGTGGCAACGTACAGATAGGTGCACACCTGTTTGGGTCGGTGACTTATTCACGTTCGCATAATCGACAGGAGTGTCCCGGGCCCAATCAAGACATGGGGGCAATTGAGATAGACCGACACATGTGCAAGTTCAACAACTCCGTCTTCATTTTGTGAGATGACCTATCTTTGCATGCGCCTCCTTCCATGCCCATCCCTCAATGCACTTCAGTCTAACTTCTATTGCCCTGTCAACGTTAGCAACCGGGACCCAAGAGAGCTGAAGATTTACTCCATACTTCTTCAGCAACAGCACACTCATGCATGATACGCCGTAACGATGGCCGATATCGAGCTTCTCACGGAAGGTCGCCTGTATACGGCTGTTCAAGTTGCGGCCGTTGGTGTTCGTAGGCCCTTCTTTTTTTCCTGTCTTGTTCATTGTGTCTGACTATCTATCGTCTAGGGTGTTGTATACTGCGTGTCGAGATGCATCTATTTGCTCTGGTTTCATCCCCTGGCAAAGTTCCCTGGGCCTAAGATCGCTGCCGTCTCGAATGTCTGGTACGGCTACCAATGGTATGTGTACACTTGCTTCAGTTTGTGTTAGGTATGGTAATAAGGGAGCTGACAATGACATGGCTGTGCGATTGCTCGTTAGGTTGTCAGGTCGCTATCCGTGGGCCATGCAACAGGCCTTCAGGGACTACGGTATGAACCATCAATATGATGACAATTCATGGCCAAAAGACACACGCTGACTGTATTTAGGAGACGTTGTTCGCATTGCGCCCAATGAGCTGGTCTTCATCACTCCCAAGGCGTACACGGGTATGGTGATCAAGTACCCCTATTTTGATGTCATCAACATTGTTGATGCAACTGAGATGGAAAATTGGCTGATGGGATCGTGTACAAGACATTTATACCAGCAGCATCAACGGCCGCCCCGGCTTCATCAAGTCTGACCTGCTTGATACCGGAGACAAGTACGAGGGCCTTGCATCAGAGCGGGATATCGACAAGCATCGTGCTGCGCGCAAGCAGCTTGCTCCCGCTTTCAGTCCCAAGGCACTGAGACAGTACGAGCCGGTCATTCACAAGCACGTCGATGGATTTGTCTCCAAACTCGAGAGCTCACCCGCACCACACCAAGGGGTTGACATCGCCCCGTGGTTCGAGAGAGCAACATGCGATCTTGGTGGTGCCGTCACTCTCGGCCATGATTTCAAAAACATTGAATCCGGCCAGAACCACCCCATTCTCGAGTCATTGCTGCGGATCGGCCACTGGGCCACCTTCAGAAACGTCATGCGCCGATTCCCGCTTCTCTACCCCTTGTCATACGTCTTCCTCCCGCCCAAAGTCGCTCTGAGCTACTTCCGGGCCCATTCAACCAGCAAAACTCTAATCCGAAGACGTGTTGAAAACCGTCACGACGGTAAACAGCTCGACTACATGACGCAGTTTCTCAAGGACGAGTCGGACCTCCCACCAGATGGCTTCCTTGTCTCTCAGGCCGGACACTTGATTCTCGACCACTATGAGTCTTCAAGTGTGTTAACTGCTGGTATTGCCTTTTTGACGACAAACCCGGAGGTCATGAGCAAGCTCCAGAGCGAGCTTCGGACGACCTTCAAGTCTTACCGCGACATCGAGGAGGACACGGACAAACTGCACGATCTTTCGTGGTTGAACGCCACCATTGAAGAGATTCTGCGCCTCCACACCAACGTGCCCTACGGATTGCCTAGAATCAGCCCGGGCTGGAATGTAGACGGGAATTACGTGCCTAAAGGGGTAAGTTGCTCTCCAGTCATTAATCTTGTACCGTCTGTGCCCTCTCTTATTGATCATGTTCAACACAACAGGTAGTCGTATCCTCCTGCGCCTACGCGACCACCCACTCCCCCAAATACTTCACCAAACCCTACGAGTTCAAGCCCCAGCGCTGGCTCCCCAAGAGCAACCCCGACTACGACCATGTATTCGACACAGACGACAAGACGGCCTTCAAGCCCTTCAGTGCCGGGTCCCGCAACTGTCTGGGGCAGGCCATGGCTTACTTGGTGCTCCGCATCATGATTGCCAAGCTTTGCTGGAAGTTTGACTGGGAGCTGCTGAATAAGGACGAGATGGACTGGGACAGGGATTTGCGTCTTTACATTGTCTGGCAGAAACCAAAGGTTCATGTTCGGTTGACCCCTTTTCAGGGGGACGGCACTCAGGCTACTTTGGGTTGAGTGTTGAACCATGTAGATAGAGGTACTAGTAGTTGTTGCAGTCTGATGGTCAATTGTGAATTGTCTATTTAATTCTATTCTGATCTATTTATTTGAGCAACTTTCAGTCTTGCTTCTGTCTTAATGACTGGATCGGATGCTTTCTGAGAGTGTCCCCCGGCCCGCTTCGAAGCTACTTCTAGGTAGTACCTCATCATTCATGATCATCATCTGATGCAAGAAAATGAAGCCTTGACTGAGCACCACGATTATTCTATCTCCCACAACGCTTAATGGCATCGCTTGTCTGTCTAATAGATTGAATAGTATCCAGCGCCTGGTTCATGACCGCTCTTACCAGCTCCGACATGTTTTCCCGTCCCAAGATGCCAACCGCACCACCTGCAGCATCGTTGTCTCGATCATGACCCCATATCCTATACTGAGAAGGCAGACCCATGAGACGTTCGACAGTCTGCATTTGCGTCTCAAAGACCTGGGCCATCATGACAATCTGAATGTTGCGCGTCTGCGCCATGTAGGCAGGGGTTTCTGCCGCCGAACCTGAACTGGAAGCAGATGATACAGCCGCCGGTGCTTCGTGAAGACAGTCCCTCAGGCGAGCAAACACAATCTCGAGGAGCTCAGTGAGCTGAATGTGCGTCGACAACAGCATCAGAGTCAAAGAAAGTGCTGCTGGTGCTGGTGGATGCGGCGAAGTACCTGAGCAGGAGGGGCCCGGCGCCACAATCTGGAGAACGGTCGCGTACCGCATGGTGAGATTCAAGACGCGGTTCCAGCCGTTGACACCATCTTGGCTCTCGGCCATGGATAGGTCTAGGCCCTGGTTCAGGTGTGGACTCCAGGACTCCCAGGACTGGTCCTTCAGCCCGGCCAGCTGGCGGCATATGCTCCCGAGTGTGTCGATGGTGGGGGCAGACCCTTCCCCGCCGGCGTGGGAAGTGCTTGGCGTGTCAATCCCGCTTTGGCCAGAGCCCGAGTCCATGTCCTTGTCGTCACCCAGGTGGCCGATTGGCTCGTCAAGACCCCTGTTCAGATGTCCTGCCATGTAGTTAAGATCGCCCATGTCGATATCAGTGACGCCGCTGAGGGAGTAGCTGAATGCATGTGATTGGGTGCCTGGCGAGGGGATGGTGTGGGTTTCGGTGGTGGACAAGGCAGACGAGAAATTCGGGGGGTGCAGCCAGAATGCTGATGCGCCATCGGAGCGACTCGACGTCCTGTTGCTGGCAGGAGAGTACTGGGCAGGCCCGTTGTCGCTTGTTTGGCTGTCGGGCTGTGCCGACAAGGAGCCGGTACCCATGGGAACACCGACTCGGAGACCGTGAAGGGACGAAGCACGGTTCCTTCGGGCCACGCTATCGTAGAGGGGATCATCGCCAGCTTGGGCCCGGTGGTTTGCGTGTATTGGAGGCCGGCCGAGTGGCCGACCCGAGCTTGTGACGCACATGGCGCCTAAACGGAGACAACGTTCGCACGTGCCCGTGTCCGACTGGGGTCGGGGACATTTGAGCTTCTGCTCACGGCATCGGTCGCAGGCGTACCTCTTTGCCGCCTGCGTGTTCATCGTGTCCCGATGGGTTGTCCCCGTAAACTCAGCTGAAAGCCTTCGGACAGAACAATCGGCTTCGGTGCAACTAGTACTGCAGAAGAATGGGTCGGAGTAATTTATTAGACATGCTCCAGGGCACACACATTATACTGCGGAGCCTCCGGTCATTGATGGCCTGAGTGGCCCCTGAGAGTGAGACTCCGTGGAGCCGGAAGGATCAGCCAGTAGTTCGAAATCCATGTTGCCTCGGATTTCGAATATCCTCTTTTTAACAGGACCGTTCGCCACTGCCGTGGAGCGGCCAATGGAGCCAATCATCCTCAGTAAGGCTCTTGTGCGGTAAATCCGGGACCCTCTCGTTCTGCTTTAGTCTACGGCACAGGTCAGCATTGGAGAATGGAGGGAGCCACTGGAACATTGCATACTCCATAGTTCATACATTCACCTGTATCTGTTCTGGTTCGGCTGGGCATCACTAACTTGAACCTTTAAGCGACCTCAAGGCTCCAACTTGTCAGCTTTTAGTTGAACACCCGGTACTCCAATACCCACTTTTGATCGCCGTCGTCGAATTGAAGCCGAGAGTCCGTCTGAGAGCCAAAGAGAGCAGTGGACAGTGAGTGGAGCCGTTTCGAAAATCGACAGCCGCTCCGGGAACCGGGCCGCTGTTCTTCGCTTCGACCCTTCGCGCAGGGCCGAGATGTCGCTAGATGCAAATAAATAGGCTTAGGATGGTTCAAATTCCAATTCGAGTCCGTTTTAGCGGCATGTACCACACTCTCTTTGTTTTCGTTATCACACGCGCGCACATCCAGGGCCTTGTCCATGGGTCCGCCGGTTAGCGAGCGGTGAACGAACACCCAATGCGACGGTTACACGGTAGTGTAGCGGCCCGGGCGGAATGTGGGATCGATGTGGGGTGTTGAGAAATAAAATGGCGCCATCAATTTAGTGTAGGGCTCCCGCTTACGTGCTAAGCCTATTACAGTTAGTGACATCGGGCTCCTGCGCGACTGCTCTCCTTGGCCAGACGGAATCTCGGCTTCGATTCGATCAGGTCGATCACCAGCGGGTATAGGCGCACTTTGGTTGGTTGTCGTTGGAGCTGGCGGATATAAGCGAGGGGTGGCCGCAGCAGCCAAAAGTTCTAGCTCAGATCCAAATCACAATAAACCCCTACACCCCTCCATCGCAGCTTCGCACAACAGCTTCGCACAATGGCTTCGCGTTCCATGCAGTCAACCAATGGTCCCTCCTTCCCCCACTAGGAACCACAGTCAGCAAACCCCCCGACACAGTCAGCAACTATCCACACATTTTCTCGCATGTCCAAGACAGGGGAAAATGGAGAAAATATCGCAAATACACGAGCCTCGCAGTTCGGCCAGTTCTGACCCGCTCCCGACTTGAAGATGGATCCAAGTGGGTGGTCCTCGACCACGCGGATAAGTGGGGCATGGCATGAGTAGTGTCCAGGCAGGAACTTGAGCATGCGATGCTACGATCCGAGGTTCGGGCGGCGATAAAGAACGATGGCAGTTGTTCTAGGGCCCTTGGCGTGGATGACAGATCGGATGAACCGATGTATCGATGCATGGTTTTCGACAAAGTATACCTTTTTGTCCCGGCAACCGCTGTTCCTGGAATTATACCCGACTTCCAAATCAGTAGAGTCTCTTGATTCGGCAGAAGAACTTTGCCCATGATCATCTCTATCCAGCTTCAGAAACATCATGCTTCGTGAGCTATTGTATGTTGCTGCAGGGTTGGTTTCGCTGGCCTACGCGGCCGACATCTTCTTCAATGGCGGAGATGACCCTCGAGAGCCTGTGCGGATACGGCCAAGATTTCCCCTGATAGGACACGTGCTTGGGTTGATGGCAGAGGGACCAACATACTACCGGAAGACCAGGTATGCAGTCTTCCTTTTCATGAACGCTGCAAGTGCTGCTCAACTGACTTGGATTATCATGACGAAACAGCAAGGCCGCAGGCACAGAGATCTACACGCTGGGATGTTTCAACTTCAAAGTCTACATCAGTGCTTCCAGTCGTCTGCTGCCTTTCATCCAAAAGCACTCTCGCGCACTATCTTTCCGGCCCTTTCTCCAGCTTGTAGCGCGCAAATATGGCGACGCCTCAGATGCTGCCTACGAGATCTTTGGCGGGACCTTGCCCGACGATCTGAGCCAGTCGGTCAAGATGAGTCTGGCCCCTGGCCGTCATCTCGATCAGCTCAGTTTGAGAATGGGCAAAAGGGTACTGGTCGACATACAAGAGCTTCTCAACAACTCAAATGGGGACGGCGTGCGTCTTCTCGCATGGGCAAGACATGCCGTGGTGCAGGCTACGAGCTGCGCCGTCTACGGAGAGGAGCATCCGTTCCTCGACCCGGAGGTTGAGAGTTCATACTGGAAATGGATGACATACCTGACGGCGCATCTGGTCGGTTGGCTCGACGTGACAAAGAAGGGCTACGCCGCGAGGCAGAGGGTGTTTAAATCCTACATCAGGTATTGCAGCAACGTCCCCGAAGAAAGCTCCCACCTCATGAAGGAGCACCAGCGCGTCCTCGGCGAGGCCGGCATATCCAACACAGACAAGGCCAAACAGGCCGCCATATTCACCATTGCCTCGTTCAGCAACTCAGCGCCAACTTTGTACTGGACACTGTGGGAGCTCTTTTCCCGCCCCGAGATCCTGTCCGAGGTCAGGGAGGAGCTTTTGACCAGCGGCGCCGTCGTCGTCTCCCCACCTGAACAAGTCGATAGCGAAAAAACCTTTGTCCTCGACGTCGCAATCCTCAAGTCCCACTGCCCCCTCCTCCTCTCCGTATTCCAAGAAACCCAACGCACCCGGCACGTCAACCCCAGCTTCCGCAAAGTCCTTCACGACACCTTGCTCGACGACAAGTATCTCCTCAAGGAGGGCCACTACCTGCAAGTTCCCGGCAACGTCATTCACTACGAAACAAACATCTGGGGCCCGACGGCCTCGCAGTTTGACCCGTACCGGTTTGTGCCGAAAAAGGGCGAGGGCGAAAAGGAAATGCTCGTCAAGACTGCCAGCGGGTTCGTTCCCTGGGGCGCGGCGCCCTATCTCTGCCCCGCGAGACAGTTTGCGGCCACTGAGATACTGATTATTGCTGCGCTCTTGGCCATGCGGGCGGATATTACGCCTGCGGGTGGGCGGTGGGATAAGAATCCGGCGCTGAACCATGCGGATTTGGCGACGCTTTCGCCTCCGAAGAAGGATGTGGAGATGAGTGTTGGGGTGCGTGAGGACTGGGTGGGCAAATGGGAGTTGAAGATGGGCGAGAGCAAGAGTCGTGTTCCTCTTGCGTCGGGGTAAGGGGTTGGTTCGTTCCTCGTCGTATCATGTACCTCTCTAGATTGTGGTGCCGGGCAGGAGGCCAGAGATGAGCGGCGATAGTCGACGGATTTGGTGGGCGTTATTCTGTGTCCTGTAGATTGGGGTGAAAACGAACTGCACTTAGGAGAGTCGTTTCAGGCTTTCACTCAGCCGACAAGACCAGTTTGTGATAAGTCAAGCACCTCAACAAACGTCGACAACCGACTCCTGAAGGAGCTCGGAACTTGAGATACTTGAACGGTTGAGGGAAAAGGGAATTGGAGGGGGGGGGGGGG